ATACATGCATCACTACGTAAACATTTTACGCCTATATATATATTTTTGAAAAAATTAAAAATTGTCATTTATTTCTATTCCCCGATTTTTTTCTTCTTCTCAAGCCTTTACTGATATGTACTTCTCATTTGTCTGCTTCTATTCAAATATACTTATTTTCAGGGTGAACTTCCCCTGTAACACTCGTCATGATATAATTTTTTATTTGAAAAAAAAACAGTTACTTATTGACAAATTTTAAAGTTGAGTTTAACAATTAGATTAAGTATATCACTCAAAACATGTAGATTTGACCTCTGAATATGAAGAAAGGCATTTCTACAGGAAATACGTTAGCTATCTAGAACATAAATACATTGTGCATCGTTTGTTGGTATTTTCCGATCTATTGTACTGAGAAGCTTTTTGTAAACTTGAAATGACCTTCCTGCCATAATAAACAGAACATACTCAAATTATAGCAGGCATAATGCTAGAAATTGATCTGATATCTAGAATGACAAAAATGCACAAAGTAAGGGATTTTCAGCCATGGAAAGTGGGGGGGGGGGGCGGAAGGATATTACCTCCCCCCCCCCCCCCCCCCCCACACCGTCCCCTGCCCCGCCGGTTTCTATGCCATTGATAGCAAGTGACACGGGTTTGTGCCTGCAAACTATGGTGAGAGGTTATATAAGAGAGAGAGAGAGAGAGAGAGAGAGAGAGAGAGTACAAAAGAGAAACAGGGACGAAAGACAGAAATAGAGAAAGAGAGAGAGAAAAAAAGGGGGGAGGGGAGGGGAAGGACATTGAGAGAGGGAAAGTAGTCTGCAGGCATAGAAGTAGAGCCTATATATATATATATATATATAACTCTGTCGCCTGTCGGTCTGGCTGTGTCAAATACCTTGCCTGGACTTGGTCTTGTGGTCTAATGGAGGGGGTGGATCACAGTACAGAGCCCATGAAGTTTGCCATCAGCCTAGTCTCAAAATGCAGACACTGTTACGCACAACGGCTCACATGGGTTTGTGACTGAAAACTAGAATAAGGGCGAGGACATTAGAGAGAGAGAGAGAGGATGAAAGAATGCGAGTGAGGACATAAGAGAGAGATAGAGGGGGAGGGGCACTTGTCCTTGGGGGTAATTGTCTTAGGGGTAATTTTCCGGTGATAATTGTCCTCGGGGTGAGGTTTTTTCCGGGGGTAATTGTCCTTGGAGGGTAATTGTCCCGCTGGTAATAGGCCGGGGATGATTGTCCCGGGAGTAATTGTCCTAGAACCGTTATGATGAATAGACCTCTATTTTGTGAAAGAGGAGGGCGATTATATCCAGTGACAACAAAACGTTCATAATATTATACACAAAATGGATGGTTGAAGTATTTAAATTAGAAGAGGGGGCGAAAGTGCCATAAGAAATAATGTTAACGTGATCACTATGTGTTTGTGCATATAATTACACTCTAATACGGAACGAAACGGTGTACATACACCCAACAAATGTGACACACGTCATTGCAATTTCTATTGTCTTTTTGTTTGTTTGTTGGCTATTCATATCTTGTTTTGATGTAAAATCCAATGATTCATCAAATAGAGCATTACGACACACAAACCATTACGCCTACGTCGATTGCGAAACGAGTGGGTTTTCCCAAATTAAAAACTTTTATTTACCCAATAACCAAATCTAGCCCGGGTATATATAATACACGGAGGCCTATACAGCTCAGTGCGACAGTCTTATTTGTTGTATAGAGGTCTACATATATCGCAGGATTCGGAGGCATCAATCTATGGATTATTTGATCATTACATGTCTGACATAAGCACGATAAATGCATCTGTATGATATACTCCTATTGAACAAACCATCTTTAGTCGTGTGCAGATGTCGAGGAAATTGAGATTCAAGTGCTAATTCAATTTGAATACCCGAATATTACATGGCACCGTAACAAAATACTTAACGATATAGTATTCATCAGATACGTTTAATCCCGAAGTTGGCCAAAGTATTAAAACGGACAGGCGTATAAAGCTCAGCAAGGTAAAATTTTCAATAATGTTATTGATATCATTATCATTATTTCTGCTTTTGAGGTTCTGAACTTAAATTAAGCTTCTTGAATTGTTTTGTTAAAGTTCTTAACCTGTTTATTTCGGGTTCTGTTTTGAACTACTGAACTTGTTTTGTTTAGGTTCTGAAAAATACTCTGTTGAGGTTCGAATTAAACCTATTTTGTAGCAGATCCTAAACCCGTTTCGTTCAGGCTCTAAACCTATTGGCCCGAATTCACAAAGCAAGGTTTGAGCTCAAACCTCCTTTTGTTTCGCCAAACCTCCCTTTGTTATTTACAAACCAGGTTTGTAAATAACAAAAGGAGGTTTGGCGAAACAAAAGGAGGTTTGAGCTCAAACCTTGGTCTGAGCTCAAACCTTGCTTTGTGAATTCGGGCCATTTTGTTTAGGCTCTAAAACTACTCTGTTGATGTTCGATACCTATTTTGGTCAGGCTTTAAATACACTGTCACTCATAACGTAGGAATATTTTTTTTATACCCCAATTTATGGAATTATTTTGACAATGATTTATTCCTAATAGATCTAGATAATAGTTTACATTCTCAGATTCTATGGAATAATAATATTCCAGTGTTTGTTTTGCGCGACTGCTAAAGCATGTGTATGCTACTATGCTTATCAACTAGGGGACTTACGTCCTTAAGTCATAAATGACAGTAATGAGGATTAATGCCCTACAAAAGGGCACTATATGATATAGCACATCGACACGGTTTTGATCCTGGGGCCTCACACTTACGAGACCATTGCTTTGTCACTGAACCATGAATATACGCAGTGGGGGCTAGGGTAGGAGGCAGTTTCCATAAATAAAAAAATACAAATAAAATGCAATAAATTTTCAATAATTTATTGAATTCCCCCCCCCCCCCCGGTCCCCAACATAAAACAATCCTCTGTGTGCCCATACCATGAGCCATAATGCATGGCCATACAGAGGATGTTGCACCCCATTGCGTACCAGCTATACAGCGTAATAATTTCAGGCGTTTTCTTTCTTCAATTTTCAAACAATACTATCAATATGAGTTTCCCAAGGTAATCTGTAGTCAAACCAGATTCCTGGAATTTGTGTGAATTATGATGGATATTATACAATCATTAATCTTTAGATTGACTTCTTTTATTTGCCGTCTACCAAATAGGACCGTTGTTGACTTTGAAAAGGAAATGCACACTCCCCATCTTTTACACTAGTTTTCTACCTCTCTCAACGCCGATTGAACTTTATTTAGTGCGAATTTTAAGTTTCGGCTAGAATCCAGATACAAATATCATCCGCATAAAATAAAGGGTTGGCTATTTGTTTTAAAAAAATGATGATCATTCAACATGAATGTAAATAGCCGTGGACTGATTATACTTCCTGAGAAATTCCGTACTTCCTTATTGTTTGACAGTTTCCCGTTTACTCTAACTTAAGCAGTTCTCCGGCTGAAAAACACTTCGACCCATTTTAAAATGTTTCCTCTCAAACCTGCTTCGTACATGTTATAATATATATATATATATATATATAAATATATATATATATATATAAATATATATATATATATATATACACCTATGTAATTCTTTTCTCCATAGTACATCGTAGGCTTTCTCTACGAAGACTACGATTGTATACTATTTATTTAATAAAAAACTAATGATTTGGTCGATTGTGGAATTATGCTCCTCACTTTTCGGAAACCCGATTGTAACAGGGTTATAACGTAATATTTTTTAAATAAACAATGTCAAACGGTTTTAACCATCCTCTCCATAAGCTGGAGATAGTGAGATGTGTCTGTATATGATGAGGGGTTTGATGGATATCTTCCAGCTTTTAAAACTGGGATTAGAATCATTATGACATGTAACATTTATTCGGGCAGGATGGCACTGTCCCAGATCTCATTCAGGCCCTTAACCTATTTTGTTCAGGTTTTAAACCATTTCGTTGAGGATTGTCGGAAATGGAGAAGATTATACGCGATCAGATGGGGTTGATGACTTTAGAGGAAATCCCCAACCGTGGGGGAGGGTTCATCAACCAATGCAAGAGTTTCCAGACTGCGAGAGGAAACTTCTGTGTCAAGATGAACACCAAGAGACAGGTAAGGTTTCTTGGAATTGTGCTTTCTAATGATGGTGATGTTGATGATGATAATGATAATGAAAGTAGCAACAGATTGGGTTGGTTTGGTTCGGTTTTATTTTTCGTATACAAATTCAAATACATACAAGAATACAATTTACATATACAAATTAAGAATTAAAAACGGCTGGAATGCTCTATTCAGAGCCATTATTAAAATGGCTCTGTTCTTCATAGAGGTCCAGAAATAGAGGGCGGGGGGGGGGGGGGCAGCGACCCCCTTCCGAAGCCCCGTGAGGGTTGGTGGGATTCCCGCGGGAATATCGATTTAGGGATTTAACAAAAAAATTCCAAGGGTGAAGAGAAGGCCGACTGGATTCCTGAAATCACATTTCCTGGAAAAATATCACCCTAGAGATTCGCCCCTGAGTCCTTTAACTTGATCATAACACACCTTGTAGTCTATAAAGAGAAGGTTAAGTTTTGGGGAGAGGTGACAAATAATTTGTGAGCGTTATCATTGTTATTATGCAAGTGTACAGTGCTTGTTACTTTACCAAGATTCGACCAATTTTCTTCAGTTTGATCACTCCAGAACCTCGTAATACACACCAATACTGATATGCTACTTGATCAACCTTTTCTGATCGATTCCACACAGTTTCTTTCACAATGCGATCGCATGACCAGAATTCAACTTTATCTTTAAGCTTTACGTTCCCCAAACAAATTTAATGTTAAAGATTCTCATTGATGAACGACATAATAGCTTATTGCGTTACTCACTTCATTTAGCTGAACGAATTTAAGAAGAAGGTGCTCTGATTCAGACATGTGAGATGATAGCCGAATATCGAACCAAATAGATTACCTTGATGGATTATTGCGTAATAATCCCCCACCATCTCTTTATTGCAGACAAGGACGATGTTCGAAGGCGAGAAGGCGGGCTTGGAGGCCATTATAGCCACGGGAACGGTTCCATGTCCGAGGCCCAACAACATTTATGACAACGGTGATGGCCCGGGGTCTATCTTCGTTATGGAACATCTTGAGCTCAGAAATCTAGACCAGCACGCTGCAGCGCTGGGTGAAGCTGTCGCAAGGTAAACCATGTAAACAGTACAAGGCGTAAAGTGGGGGGGGGGGCGAACGGGGCAACCCTCCATGAAAAACTAAAACGTGCAAGTAAACATTTTAAGAGATGAACCACCGTACTGCATTCCCTCTTATCGGGACATTGTGATGACCGACTGGATTCCCGGGGGGAAATACCTGAATTAACCGGGTAATTATGCTGTTCATCAAATGGTAAGTTGGGAAATGTTGGCTTGTCGTCAATTAAAACATATCAATTCAGTGGTCTTTGAAATTCCTCTCGATCTTATTGCTTCTTACTTAAATATTAATTTAATCCTGTTTATCATCAATATTCTTTACGTTCTATTGGATATCTTTCTTTTCCCCCCAAACCACAGACCGAATCATGTCGGGGCATTTCGTTTTACCCACTGTTGCAAAATCATGTCCAACTTTTTTTGAATCCATAAGGGCAAAAAAATGAACCGCACACAGAAGATTTTTTTCTGTTGGGGACCGGGGGGAATTCAATGAATTATTGATAATTTATTGCATTTCCTTTTTTTCTTTTTTTTATTTGTGGGAAAGGCCCCCTACCCTAGCCCCCGCTGCGTACAGTCATGGTTCAGTGGCAAAACGATGGCCTCGTAACTGTGAGGCCCCATGATCAAAACCGTGTCGATATGCGTAGGTTACCTAGTTGATAAGCATATTAGCATACACGTGCTTAAGCAGTAACGAAAAACAAACACTGGCATATTACTATTCAATAAAATTTGAGAATGTATACTTTGTCAAACAATTCCATAAATTGGGGTAAAAAAAATATTCCAACGTTATGAGCGACAGTGTATATGCAAACCTGATCACAAAATATAAGTTTCAAATTCATTTTCCACATTTTATTATCCTCTGACATTTTTTTGAACCTCTGACATTTTTACCTCTGACATTATTACCTCTGACATTTTTATCTCTGACATTTTTACCTTCGTCATTTTTACCTCTAACATTATAACCCCGACATTTTGTTTGAACCTCTGACATTTTTTTTAACCTCTGACATGTTTACCTCTGACATCTTTACCTCTAACATATTATCCCGACATTTTGTGTGTACCTCTGATATTTCTTTTGTACCTCTGACATTTTTACCTCTGACATTATTAACTCTGACATGTTTACCTCTGTCCTTATTACCTCTGAACTGATATCTGTGTGTACCTCTGACATTATTACCTCTGACTTTTTTTTTTTTTTTTAACCTCTGACATGTTTACATCCGACATTTTAACCTCTGACATTTTTACCTCTGACAATTGCACCTCTGACATAATAACCTCTGACATTTTTACATGGCACCTTATTTTCTATCATTTCCTTGTGTAATTTGTAGATCCCCTCTACAAATCAGCTGTGCTGTTATGGCACAGCTGAGCAGGGTGAATCTTTTAAATAATTTATTTTCATAATGTTATTATACTTTTTTTTAATACTCGATAAATAAAATCATTCAATCAAAACCAGTTTGCATCTGCACAACAGTCGTCTCATGTTGAGAGAGAAAAAGAATGATGGGAGAATAGGTGGTTCTCATCACGTGACATTGGAGGAGAATGGGGAGGAAGAGGAAACCCAACGATCTGTCTCTCAGTTTGGATTCGGCACCACCACCTGCTTGGGATACTTGGCTCTGGATAATACATGGTCCGATGATTGGGTGGTAAGACGGTCGGTCGTAAAGAATTGTTCAGACCCTGCCCCTTAAGAGTGTTGGATTGAGAGGGGGGGGGGGGGAGGTCTATTGTGAAATCCAAGTGACACACTTTTCGAACACAAATTCGAAATTTCACTTCCGCATCCCCCCTCATATTACAACTTTTTTGTGTAGATAATTACAAGAAAGACCTAAGAAAAAAAATTACTTTTAATTTGTGCCCTTAAATCACTCAATTTCGTACAGAAGCCGAACACTTCTTACATGTATCCATATAAGATTTAACGTATAACTTAAAACCCTTTTGCCACATAGACCCTTACCCTATCCCTATATCACAGGCCTATCTATCTCAGTGGTGCATGGGGGGGGGGGCTCACCGACCTGTCCGTGACGGTCCTAATTGTTGAAAGAACCAAAATAATATTTTGACTTTTTTTTTTGGGGGGGGGGGGATTCTTACTTAGCTTAATAAATCCGAATTCACCCATTCAACCAGGATAACTCATGCAATAGCGATTTTTCTTTCCGTCTATTCTCAGGATTTTTTCGTCCGCCAAAGATTAAAACCTAAAGTGGATTACATTGAGCAAAAATGGGGGGACCGCACGCTGATTGAACTGTGGCCGCGTCTTGTGCGGCATATACCGCGGTTATTTCGCGGTATCGACCGTATCACCCCAGCCTTGCTGCACGGCGACCTACACGGGGGAAACGTTGCCGAAACAGCGACTGGCCCAGGTGAGTTACGATTTGACAGGGGGGCTTTGCTATAATGTGTGACAACGCAGTTTTCGTTTCCCTTGATATAATTTCTCACTGAAACCTGCCTTCAAAGACGACTTTTCTGGTCTTCCTTGAACGGTCTTCATAAGGTTTTACTGTTTTTACTGTACTATTACTACTAATGTAATTTATTTTGCAGTGATCTACGATCCCGCTTGTTTCTACGGGCATCACGAGTTGGAGCTGGCAGCGACCCAAGACTTTGTCGACTTCAACCAAGAATTCTTTCCAGCCTATCACAGACTGATTCCTAGAGCAGAAGGCTTCGACGAGCGGGAAAAACTCTACAAAATATTCTGCTATCTCAATTACTGGTACGACATTATTCATTGGCTAATCCAGAGGGGTGAGGGGCAGAGCTTACATGCCCCCTCCCGGCAAAATTCAATCTAGCATATAACAGGCCATACATACAAATACAATGCCCTGCTTTGTGCTCCTAAAGACTCCCAAAGGCACATGAAAGAGTGATTATCCGCTTTATGTTTGTAATTGCTTAATTATCAGAGAATTTGGTGAATATTTTTTATTTATTTTCTATTTATTTATTTGATATATATTAAATCATTTATTTCTTTACTTATATATTTATAGGGCATATACTTATCTATAGATTTATCCATAGATTTAGTTATGTATGCATTCATTTATAAATTAAAATAATTCTATATTTATTTTGCTTATTACAGACTTTACAGACGTTATTAAAGGATGCTATAAACTTCAGTTTTAGTCTCCATTTTCTCACTGTATATAAACGTTTTGGGCACTTTTTAAACTTTAACTACCTTAAAGAAAATCAAAATTTCCCTGTTATAATTTTGTATGGTTAGGGTAAGTACAAAGCCAAGTGGAATAAAACTGAATTTAATAAGTAACCAAGAAATGATGTATCACCCTGAATTGTATTTTTAATTGACATTAAAAATACTAACTTAACATATCTATTGAAATTAATCGTTTATGATGGTAATCCCAAATTATTGATTTTATTGCGATAAATTTATTTGAGTCGCTTTGATTCGATTTGACTGGTACATTCCAATCCAATTCTATGATTGTTTTTACTCCCCCATGGGACTGGGCAATGGGCTACCTTGTGAATAAATAGATGAACATAAATAATGGAATAGGCATGAAAAAGACGAAACCAATTATTACATGCGTATTAAAGCATATTACACAGCCCTATAATGCAAGATTATGCCAATGTGTGTGTCCCATGCCAACAGCGCTGCTGCTTTCCGTCTATGAACTGAGCGTTCAACACACAACGCGCCACCTTATATTAGGGGTATGCTGATGCACTTAGTCTAAATACATGTTTCTCCTTTTCTTTCTTGTGATTTGCAGGAGTCACTTTGGACCAAAGTACAAAGATGAGGTGATAGCGCTATCCACGGAACTGTTAGCAAATTGATTATATATATATATATATGTACAAAATATAATAGTGGCACATTATGCCAGCTCAAGATTAATATATAAATATATACCGTTATATTATGACAGCTTAAGATTAATATATAAATATATACCGTTGATCTCTTGAATGGGTTGTGCAATCATAGTCATCCAATGAAATTCAAATATGTTATTGAAGTTGTGTCTGCCTTATGACCAGTTGCATAGTGAGGTCCAAACATTGAGGGGTTATTGATGCTGGGGAGGGAGGGGCGGTCTTCCTAGGTTGGTGAAATGCGAGAGAGCAAGGCTACCGAGTAAGGGGATCTTTTGCATCTGCTCACATTCCTTTCCCTCATCTTCAAATAAAATTTCTCTCTTTTCATCCCCCTCCCCCCCTTTCACCGTTCAAATGGGGGAGCAAATGCCTCTGGCGCTGAGCAATTAATTACTTGATTTGATGTGATTCATTGATTTATGCATTTTGCATTCAATCATAATCAGTCACAATATGAACATTTTGCACATAGTAACAATATTTTTCCAAATCACAATGAATAACACAATTAATGCAAAAAGGTTGGGAACGATAAAATTTGTGATCTACCAATAATACTGTGCAAGCATAATTGAAGAATGTTTCATATTCATTAACGTAGCAGCAGCAAATCGTGTTTAAATTTAATCCAACAACCTCAATTATCAGTAGATAACAAAAATATATGTATGGGAACCCGGAAATAATTTGAGTCAACTTATAAGTAAAAGATACAGATATTCATGAAATTATTAAGTGAACTAAGATTCGAAAGTTTAAGATACGATCGATGATACATAAGTATAAATTTTAAATGTTTAGATGCAAGTTTTTAGTAAACAATAGTTAAGAAAATTGTGCATTGATAGACAATCCTTAATTCTCTGCTAATCGTAAGGATCAAAATCGAGAAATTATTATTATTATTATTATCATAACTATAATCAATCATTTTTCAATATCAAATATGTTTCTATTGTGTGTTTGTTTACATGAATGATGGTCATAGGCGTAGGGGGAGGGAGGGGGTTGCGGCCATCCCCCAGTAAGAAGAATATATAGCAATCATCAATCTTTATTGCGCATAGTAACCATTCATTTATTCCATTAAGCTTGACCGCAAAGCAAATGGAAGGACAGCTCGCATGATACGTCACAGAGATGCCAATTTGTATTTGATTGATCACAACTTTAAAATATTTATATCTTTTTTAATATCTTTAATCAGAATTTTCTCACTAAACTGTCAGTTACCTGTTCCTCTTATTTTTCTGCCTCTATTCAAACGTACTTATTTTTAGGTGGATTTCCCCTTTAACTGTAATTTATTTTCAATGATAGAATCATCTAATTGCGCATGAGTGTGAAATCTAATAATTCCCTTCATGTACACTCTGTTTTGCATCAGTTCTTTGCCTATATTGCAGGCAAATATTGAGGGGTGATATGGTGTGACAACTATACTCCCAAGCTTCTAAACAGTAATACACGCATCACTACGTAAACATTTTACGCCTATGTATTGCCAGTTTTTTCAAACATTCGTGTTTATAAATATTTTTCCTGACATCAATTGTAATTTGGTCAATAAAATCTTATACTTTGTTTGGAAAATCCGTGTATAAAAAAACACTTGTTCTTTCTATAGCATTTATTTTTATTCCCATCTGAGCACTTACAATCCTAGTTTTGACTCCATGCAGAGTTCAGAGTCAGACCAGTTCATTATCACCATGGCCAAATTATTATACATTACTTCTTCTTATTCCAAACATGTGCATTGTAGCACCCTTCAACACTTGTCATGGTTCTAGTTTTACTAGAAGAAACCTAGAAATTGTACTTCTGTTACCAGACATCTAAACTCTTCAAACATTTCACTGAATACAAAGCTAGTTTGATGACCCGATAAAAGTCATGAGCAAAATTACTAAATTATTAGAAACCGCTGGACTTTAATCCAAACATGTGGAAAGAGCACACTTGTTATGATACATTTGAAGAAACGGTTACTTTAATATTGACCAAATAAATGCCTTTCTTTTAAAATCGAGTTTCACCATTAGATTAAGTTTATGACTCATAGCAGTCATGTAAATGAGACCTCTGAATAGGAAGAAAGGTATCGTTACAGGAAATATCTAGAACATAGATACACAAAAATATATACATGTAAACACGTGTGCATTGTTTTTGGGGTATTTCCCCATATTGTACTGAAAATCTTTTGGTAAACTTTGAATGAACTTCCTGCCACCATTCGAATTTATTCCGTATTATAAAAAGTACATACTTAAATTATGTTAGGCATAATGCCAAACATTGATCTGATATCTTTAAGAACATGAGAGAGAGAGAGAGAGAGAGATAGGGAGAGAGAGAGAGAGCGAGCGAGAGAGAACAAAAAAGTGTATGGAAGAATGAGAGTGAGGACTTAAGAGAGATAAAAAGAGAAAGAGAGAAAGAGAAAGAGAGAGAGAGAAAGAGAGAGAGAACAAAACAGTGGATGGAAGAATGAGAGTGAGGATTTAAGAGGGATAGAGGGAGAAAGAGAACGAGAGAGGGGGAGAGAGAGAGGAAAGGAGGGGAGGGGAGGAACTTCGTAATAATGGAATAGCAGACTGGATGCACGTTATACTAGCTATTCTGCGTATCAGGACAATCACCCCCTGATAATTACCCCCGGAAAACTATCCCCAAGGACAATAACTCCGCGGAAAATTACCCCCCAAGGACAACCATCCCCCGAAGACATTAACCGGCGGGGGGGGGGGGGGTGATTGTCGAAGGGAAAATGTTTAGGGGGTAATTGTCCTTCGGGGGTAATTGTACTATAGGGTAGTTTTACGGGGGTAATTATCCTGTGGTTGTCCTCAGGGGTTATTTTCCGGGGGTGGTTGCCGGTGGTAATTGTCCTACAACTGTTATGATGAATAGACCTCTAGACCTGTGAAACTGGAGGACGACTATATCCAGTGACAACAAAACGTTTGTAGTATTATATACAAACAGGATGGTTGAAGTTTTTATATTAGAAGAGGGGGCGATCGTGCCATACAAAATAAAGGAAACGTGATCACTTCGGCGATGGTGCATTTATTGCACTCTGATAGATAATGCACACAAAACGGAACAAAACGAGTGTACATATTTATACCCAACAAAATATGACACATGTAATTGCAATCTATTTAGGCTATTCATGTCTTGTTTTGATGTAAAATCCAATCATGCATCACATAGAGCATTACGACACACATAAATTACGCCTACGGCGATTGCGAAACGAGCGGGTTTTCCCCAACTGCAAACTATTATTTACGCAATAACCAAATCTAGCTCGGGTATAATTATTTAATAAACGTAGGCCTATTCAGTGCCACTATCTTATTTCGTTGTATACATAATATATCGCAGGATTCGGAGGCATCAATCTATGGATTGTTTGTTCATGACATGTCTGACATAATTATAGCACGATAAATGCATCTGTATGATATGCTCATATTGAACAATCCATCTTTAGTCATGTGCAGATGTCGAGGAAATTGAGATTCAAGTGCTAAATTCAATTCGTATACCTGCATATTATATGGCACCGTAACAAGATACTTAACGAGAAAGTATTCATCAGATCTGCTTAATCCCGAGGTTGGCCAAAGTATTAAAACGGACAGGCGTATAAAGCTCAGCAAGGTAAAATTTCCAATAATGTTATTAATATCAATATCCTTATTGTTATTATTCAATTTTGTATTTTTGCTTTTGAGGTTCTAAACCTTATTCAAGCTTCTTAAATGATTTTGTTCAGGTTCTTAACGTGTTTATTTCGGGTTCTGTTTTGAACTACTGAACCTGTTTTGTTTAAGTTCTGAAAAATACTCTGTTGAGGTTCGAATTAAACCTATCATGTAGCAGATCCTAAACCCGTGTCGTTCAGGCTCTAAACCTATTTTTTAGGCTCTGAAACTACTCTGTTGATGTTCGATACCTATTTTTGGTCAGGCTTTAAATACACTGTCACTCATAACGTTGGAATATTTTTTTTATACCCCAATTTATGGAATTATTTTGACAATGATTTATTACTAATAGATCTAGATAATAGTATACATTCTCAGATTTTATTGAATAATAATGTACCAGTGTTTGTTTTGCGCGACTGCCTTAAGCATGTGTATGCTACTATGCTTATCAACTAGGGGACCTACGCCCTTAAGTCATAAATTACAGTAATGAGGATTAATGCCCCACAAAAGGGCACTAATATAGCACATCGACACGGTTTTGATCCTGGGGCCTCACAGTTACGAGGCCATCGCTTTGCCACTGAACCATGACTGTACGCAGCGGGGGCTAGGGTAGGGGGCAGTTCCCACAAATAAAAACTAACAAAGAAAATGCAATAAATTATCAATAAATCATTGAATTTCTCCCCGTTCCCCCCCCCCCCCTAAAAAAAAAAAAAAAAAAAAAATTATGTGTGCCCATGCCTTGAGCCATATTGCATGGCCATACAGAGGATGTTGCACCCCATTGCGTACCAGCTATACAGCGTAATAAATTCAGGCGTTTTTTTTTCCTTCAATTTTCCAACAATACTATCAATATGAGTTGCCAAAGGTAATCTGTAGTCAAACCAGATTCCTGGAATTTGTGTGAATTATGATGGGTATTATACAATCTTTAATCTTTAGATTGACTTCTTTTATTTCCCGTCTACCAAATAGGACCGTTGTTGACTTTGAAAAGGAAATGCACACTCCCCATCTTTTACACTAGTTTTCTATCCCTTTCAACGCCGATTGAACTTGATTTAGTGTGAATTTTAGGTTTTGGTTAGAATCCAGATACATACATAATATATCGCAGGATTCGGAGGCATCAATCTATGGATTATTTGATCATTACATGTCTGACATAAGCACGATAAATGCATCTGTATGATATACTCCTATTGAACAAACCATCTTTAGTCGTGTGCAGATGTCGAGGAAATTGAGATTCAAGTGCTAATTCAATTTGTATACCCGAATATTACATGGCACCGTAACAAAATACTTAACGATATAGTATTCATCAGATACGTTTAATCCCGAAGTTGGCCAAAGTATTAAAACGGACAGGCGTATAAAGCTCAGCAAGGTAAAATTTTCAATAATGTTATTGATATCATTATCATTATTTCTGCTTTTGAGGTTCTGAACTTAAATTAAGCTTCTTGAATTGTTTTGTTAAAGTTCTTAACCTGTTTATTTCGGGTTCTGTTTTAAACTACTGAACTTGTTTTGTTTAGGTTCTGAAAAATACTCTGTTGAGGTTCGAATTAAACCTATTTTGTAGCAGATCCTAAACCCGTTTCGTTCAGGCTCTAAACCTATTTTGTTTAGGCTCTAAAACTACTCTGTTGATGTTCGATACCTATTTTGGTCAGGCTTTAAATACACTGTCACTCATAACGTTGGAGTATTTTTTTTATACCCCAATTTATGGAATTATTTTGACAATGATTTATTCCTAATAGATCTAGATAATAGTATACATCCTCAGATTTTATTGAATAATAATGTACCAGTGTTTGTTTTGCGCGACTGCTAAAGCATGTGTATGCTACTATGCTTATCAACTAGGGGACCTACGCCCTTAAGTCATAAATTACAGTAATGAGGATTAATGCCCCACAAAAGGGCACTAATATAGCACATCGACACGGTTTTGATCCTGGGGCCTCACAGTTACGAGGCCATCGCTTTGCCACTGAACCATGACTGTACGCAGCGGGGGCTAGGGTAGGGGACAGTTCCCACAAATAAAAACTAACAAAGAAAATGCAATAAATTATCAATAAATCATTGAATTTCTCCCCGTTCCCCCCCCCCCCTAAAAAAAAAAAAAAAAAAAATTATGTGTGCCCATGCCTTGAGCCATATTGCATGGCCATACAGAGGATGTTGCACCCCATTGCGTATAAGCTATACAGCGTTATAAATTCAGGCGTTTTTTTTTTCCTTCAATTTTCCAACAATACTATCAATATGAGTTGCCAAAGGTAATCTGTAGTCAAACCAGATTCCTGGAATTTGTGTGAATTATGATGGGTATTATACAATCATTAATCTTTAGATTGACTTCTTTTATTTCCCGTCTACCGAATAGGACCGTTGTTGACTTTGAAAAGGAAATGCACACTCCTCATCTTTTACACTAGTTTTCTATCTCTTTCAACGCCGATTGAACTTTATTTAGTGTGAATTTTAGGTTTTGGTTAGAATCCAGATACAAATATCATCCACATAAAATGAAACGTTGGCTATTTGTTTTTGAAAAATCATGATCATTCAACATGAATGTAAATAGCAGTGGACTGATTATACTCCCTGAGAGATTCCTTGTACTTCCTTACTGTTTGACAGTTTCCCGTCTACTCTAACTTAAAGGTATTACAAAGTTTTGGTATGGGGTCATGAATTTGGTTCAAATTAACATATTGGAAGCATATGCGTTCCTACAATATAAATTGATCGTTGTCGCGGTTGAAATCGAGTCTAAAGTTATGAAATTATAAATAATAAACTCTTTATGTTGTTTAGCTCCCTCTCAAGGTCAAGATATTAATTAAGCTATAAAACAATGTTTCTTTACTAAAATCGACCGATTAGCTATTCCCGTTTGGAAATTATGTATCCCAACTATATATTCTGAGATTTTCATGGTCGCAGCTACCATTGTACGGCTATAGGCGCTTTTGGAAATTTATCAAAATTTACCGGGAGCACCGGTAAATTTTTATATTCAATTTTTCTCGAAAACAGAAGTGTTTTAGGGGCTAATTTTTTTGAGGGCTTATAATACATCCACAGGGGCATCCAAATATATCAAAATTGTAAAGATTCACTACCCACCCAATTTTCAAAATTTCCCAAAACTTTGTATTACCTTTAAGCAGTTCTCCGGCTGAAAAACACTTCGACCCATTTTTAAATGTTTCCTCTCAAACCTGCTTCGTAAATGTTATAATATATATATTATATACACCTATGTAATTCTGTTTTCCATAGCACCTCGTAGGCTTTCTCTAAGTCTACGAAGACTTCGATTGTATACTATTCATGTAATAAGGTCGTATTAATATCGGTCTCTAAACTAATGATTTGGTCGATTTTGGAATTATGCTCCTCACTTTTCGGAAACCCGATTGTAACGGGGCTATAACTTAATATTTTTAAAATAAACAATGTCAAACGGTTTTAACCATCCTCCCCATAAGCTGGAGATAGTGAGATATGTCTGTATATGATGAGGGGTTTGATGGATATCTTCCAGCTTTTAAAAGTGGAATTAGAATAATTATGGCATGTAACCGGGCAGGATGGCTCTGTCCCAGATATCATTCAGGCCCTTAACCTATTTTGTTCAGGTTTTAAACCATTTTGTTGAGGATTGTCGGAGATGGAGAAGATTATTCGCGATCAGATGGGGTTGATGACTTTAGAGGAAATCCCCAACCGTGGGGGAGGGTGCATCAACCAATGCAAGAGTTTCCAGACTGAGAGAGGAAACTTCTGTGTCAAGATGAACACCAAGAGACAGGTAAGGTTTCTTGGAATTGTGCTTTCTAATGATGATCATGATAATGAAAGTAGCAACAGTTTGGGTTGGTTTGGTTCGGGTTTTTTTTCGTATACAAATTCAAATACATACAAGAATACAATTTACATATACAAATCAAGAATTAAAAAAGGCTAGAATGCTCTATTCAGAGCCATGATTAAAATGGCTCTGCTCTTCATAGAGGTCCAGAAATAGAGGGCGGGGGGGGGGGCAGCGACCCCCTTTCGAAGCCCCGTTAGGGTTGGTGGGATTCCCGCGGGAATATCAATTTAGGGATTTTTTTTTCTTCTTCTTTCTTCTTCCAAGGGTGAAGAGAAGGCCGACTGGATTCCCGAAATCACATTTCCCGGAAAAATGTCACCCCGGAGATTCGCCCATGAGTTCTTTAACTTGATTAAAACACAACTTGTAGTCATAATAGATAAGGTTGAGTTTTGGGGAGAGGGGACAAATAATTTGTGAGCGTTATCATTGTTATTATGCAAATGTGGAAGAAGATCAGAGATACAAATGTTCCCTGAAAAGCATGGCTCTTCAAATGCCTTCATATTCTAAATATGACAAGTAACAGCTTAAAAATGAGACCCCAATAGTTTTGCCACAAGTTTGTGTATTCCCGTATACATCTTTATGTGTACAGTGCTTGTTACTTTACCAACATTCGGTCAATTTTTTGTATCAGTTTGATGCCATGTAGTACATACCAATACAAATTTAATGTAAAAGATTCTCATTGATGAACGACATAATAGCCTATTGCGTTACTCACTAATTCATCTTCATCTAGCTGAACAAATTTGAGGAGAAGTTGCTCTGACTCAGACATGTGAGATGATAACCTAAAATCAATCCAAATAGATTACCTTAGACGAGATGGATTATTGCGTAATACTTATCCACCATCTCATTATTGCAGACAAGGACGATGTTCGAGGGCGAGAAGGCGGGCTTGGAGGCCATTATAGCCACGGGAACGGTTCCATGTCCGAGGCCTTACGATATTTATGACAACGATGATGGCCCGGGGTCTATCTTCGTTATGGAACATCTTGATCTCAGAAATCTAGACCAGCACGCTGCAGCGTTGGGTGAAGCTGTCGCAAGGTAAACCATGTAAACAGTACAAGGCGTAAAGTGGGGGGGGGGTGGAAACGGGATGTCCCTCCACTTAAAATAAAAAACGTACAAGAAAATGTTTTAAAGGCACACTGTCCTACTTGTAGCTACTTGCTCCCTCTATATAGAAAACTTCCCAAATCGGTGCCTGTTGGTCCCCCATGATCCTCTTTTTCTTATGTTAAATGAGAGCTGAGTTAATGAGATAGCCACCTGTCACAGTGACCTCGTTGGCTCGCTGTGTGGTCTAATCCCTTCTAGCTGCAGTAGTAACGCCTACCTTTAAGAGATGAACCACCGTACTGAAACCCCTTTTATCGGGACATTGGGATGACCTGCTGGATTCCCGCGGGAAAATACCTGAATTAACCCGGTAATTATGATGTTCATCAGATGGATAATTGGGAAATGTTGGCTTGTCGTCAATTAAAACATACAAATTCAGTGGTCTTTGAAATTCCTTTTAATCTTAGTGCCCCTTACTTAAAATATTCATTTAATCCTGTTTATCATCAATATTCTTTACGTTCTATTGGATATCTTTTTTTTCCCCCAAACCACAGACTGAATCATGTCGTATGGTTTTCTTATCGGGGCATTTCGTCTTACCCACTGTTGCAAAATCATGTCCAACTTTTTTTGAATCCATAAGGGCAACAAAATGAACCGCTTTGAAATAGGTTTCCCTTAAAAAATGAAAGCGTTGAGGTATGATTTTGGTTGGATTGGGCTGGTATGTTATTAGAGTAAATTATATTTGATATACAGTGTATTGTACTTGATATATGTCAAGAGTTTAGGTTGTGATATGTTATTTTCGGCTCGGTGTAAAAAATGTCAGAGGTAAAAATGCAAGATGTAAAAATGTCAGAGGTAATAATGTTAGAGGTAAAAATGTCAGAGGTAACAAAAAAATATCAAAACAAAAGCATGTTACTGGCAGGCGCGGATACAGGGGGGCAGCGGGCCTAGCCCCCCCCCCCCCCCCCAAAAAAGGGGGGGGGGAAGGGGGCAAAGGTAATTTTGACAAGAAATTTACCCTTTTTTTTGCTCGGGGGGGGGGGTATTATTGTAATACATTGTATTATCCTCTGACATTTTTGTTAACCTCTGACATTTTACCTCTGACATTATTACCTCTGACATTTTTATCTCTGACACTTTTACCTTTGTCATTTTTACCTCTGACATTTTTACCTCTAACGTTATAATCCCGACATTTGGTTTGTACCTCTGACATTTTTGTTGTACCTCTGACATTATTACCTCTGACATTTTTATTTCTAACATTTTTACCTCTGACTTTTTTACCTCTAACATTAAAACCCCGACATTTTGTTTGTACCTCTTACACTTTTTGTACCTTTGTCATTTTTACCTCTAATTGTTTTACCTCGAATAATATAACCCCGACATTTTGTTTGAACCTCTGACATTTTTTTGTACCTCTGACATTTTTATCTCTGATATTATTACGTCTGACATTTTTATCTCTGACATTTTTACCTGTGACATTATAACCCCGACATTTTTTGTGTGCCTCTGACATTTCTTTTGTACCTCTGACATGTTTACCTCTGACATTATTACGTCTGACATTTTTATCTCTGACATTATTACGTCTGACACTTTTATCTTTGACATTTTTACCTTTGACATTTTTACCTCTGACATCTTTTCCTCTGACATATTATCCCGACATTTTTTGTGTACCTCTGATATTTCATTTGTACCTCTGACATTATTAACTCTGACATGTTTACCTCTGTCATTATTACCTCTGACATTTTTTTTACCTCTGGCATGTTTACATCAGACATTTTAACCTCTGACATTTTTACCTCTGACAATTGCACCTCTGACATCATTACCTCTGACTTTTTACCTGGCACCTTATTTTCTATTGTTTCCTTGTGTAATTTGTAGATCTCCTCTACAAATCAGCTGTGCTGTTATGGCACAGCTGAGCAGGGTGAATCTTATAAATAAATCATTTTCATAATGTTATTATACTTCTTTTAATACTCGATAAATAAAATCATTCAATCAAAACCAGTTTGCATCTGCACAACAGTCGTCTCATGTTGAGAGAGAAAAAGAATGATGGGAGAATAGGTGGTTCTCATCACGTGTCGTTGGAGGAGAATGGGGAAGAAGAGGAAACCCAACGATCTATCTCTCAGTTTGGATTCGGTACCACCACCTGCTTGGGATACTTGGCTCTGGATAATACATGGTCCGATGATTGGGTGGTAAGACGGTCGGTCGTAAAGAATTGTTCAAACCCTGCCCCTTAAGAGTGTTGGATTGAGAGGGGGGAGGTCTATTGTGAAATCCAAGTGACACAATTTCCGTACACAGATTCGAAATTTCACTACCCCATCCCCCCTCATATTACTTTTTTTTTTTGTAAAGATATTTTTGAAAAAAATATTTTTTACAAGAAAGACCTAAGAAAAAAAGGAAAAAAAAATTGTGCCTGCAAATCACTCAATTTCGTACACAAGCCGAACTTCTTACAATATAAGAAGTTCGGCTTGTGTACGAAATTGTATCCATATTTTAACCTGATACTTAAAGGGAAATGTTCCCCGTATTCCAGAGGGCGCTCAAAATACGTAAGCGTTGGCGGACGGCGCTATAGCTGCCTATTGACACCAACAGAATACGGCTCTTACGCAGATGGCATGTTCCGATAACTACACTGGCGGGAACGTGCCCCTTTAAAACCCTTTTGCCACACTGACCCTAATCCTATCCCTATACCTTTGATGAAATAAACCCGGAGTAAACGTTGCTGGAGAAAGTGTCCAACCATCGGCCAATTGACAAGTTTGCCAATAATGTTTAATTTCACTTTATTTCATTTCCATTTCATTGATTTATTTTCTACATTCACGTTTTAAAAAAACATGCAAATACAAAATAATGTACATTGTAAAATACAAAGGAATACATAGATAAAGAAACAAACATACCAACAACAGAAAAGTGACCTAAGAAAACAAGTGACACAGGGTTGAATAGTGAGTAAACATGGTATGCGGGCCTATCTATCTCAGTGGTGCACTGGGGAGGGGGGGGGGTGGCTCATCGACCTGTCTGTGACTGTCCTAATTGTTGAAAGAAGTAAAATAATATCTTGACTGTTGTATTCTGAAATATTCCTCGCCTTTATTTATGGGGGGATTCTTACTCAGCTTTGTGAATCCGAAATCACCCATTCAACTAGGATAACTCATGCAATAGCGATATTTCTTTCCGTCTATTCTCAGGATTTTTTCGTCCGCCAAAGATTAAAACCTAAAGTGGATTATATTGAGCAAAAATGGGGGGACCGCACGCTGATTGAACTGTGGCCGCGTCTTGTGCGGCATATACCGCGGTTATTCCGCGGTATCGACCGCATCACCCCAGCCTTGCTGCACGGCGACCTACACGGGGGAAACGTTGCCGAAACAGCGACTGGCCCAGGTGAGTTACGATTTGACAGGGGGGCTTTGCTATAATGTGTGACAACGCAGTTTTCGTTTCCCTTGATATATATTTGTCACTGAAACCTGCCTTCAAAGACGACTTTTCTGGTCTTCCTTGAACGGTCTTCATAAGGTTTTACTGGTTTTACTGTAGTGTTACTACTAATGTAATTTATTTTTCAGTGATCTACGATCCCGCCTGTTTCTACGGGCATCACGAGTTGGAGCTGGCAGCGACCCGAGACTTTGTCGACTTCAACCAAGAATTCTTTCCAGCCTACCACAGACTGATTCCTAGAGTAGAAGGCTTCGACGAGCGGGAAAAACTCTACAAAATATTCTGCTATCTCTTTAACTGGTACGACATTATTCATTGGCTAATCCAGAGGGGTGAGGGGCAGAGCTTACATGCCCCCTCCCGGCAAAATCCAATCTAGCACATAACAGGCCATACATACAAATACAATGCCCTGCTTTGTGCTCCTAAAGACTCCCAAAGGCAGATGAAGAGTGATTATCCGTTTTATGTTTGTAATTGCTCAATTATCAGAGAATTTGGTGGATATTTTTTTATTTATTTTCTATTTATCTATTTAATATATATTAATTCATTTATTTATTTACTTATATATTTATAGGCCTGTATATACTTATCTATTTATTCATCCATAAATTTATTTATTGAGTTATTTATTCATGCATTTATTTATTAATTAAAATATTTCTATATTTATTTTGCTTATTACTGACTTTACAGACGTTATTATAGGATGCTTACTTCAGTTTTAGTCTCCTTTGTTCTCACTGGATATAAGCGTTTTGGGCACTTTTTGAACTTTAACTACTTTAAAGAAAATCAAAATTTCCCTGTTATAATTTTGTAAGGTTAGGGTAAGTACAAAGCCAAGTGGAATAAAACTGAATTTAATAAGTAACCAAGAAATGATGTATCACCCTGAATTTTATTTTTAATTGACATTAAAAATACTAATTTAACATGTTTATTGAAATTAATCGTTTATGATGGTAATCCCAAATTATTGATTTTATTGCGATAAATTTATTTGAGTCGCTTTGATTCGATTTGACTGGTACATTCCAATCCAATTGTATGATTTTTTTTACAGGCCCCCATGGGAGACCAACTGATTTTGAATGGGCTACCTTGTGAATAAACATTAAATAATGGAATAGGCTTGAAAAAGACGAAAGCAATTATTACATGCGTATTAAAGCATATTACACAGCCCTATAATACAAGGCATTAGGCCAATGTGTGTGTCCCATGCCAACAGCGCTGCTGCTTTCCGTCTATGAACTGAGCGTTGAACACACAACGCACCACCTTATATTAGGGGGAAGGGGTTACGCCCCTCTCTGCCTGCTTACCATTTTGGGGTATGCTGATGCACTATTACATTTATTTAGTCTAAATACATATTTCTTCTTTTCTTTCTTGTCATTTGCAGGAGTCACTTTGGACCAAAGTACAAAGATAAAGTGATAGCGCTATCCACGGAACTATTTGCAAATTGATTACATATATAATGTATAATATTCATAAGTAGCACATTATGACAGCTCAATATTAATATCTAAATATATACCGTTAATTCCTTGAAAGGGTTGTGCAATCATAGTCATCCAATGAAATTCAAATATCTTATTGAATTTATATCTGCCTTATGACCAGTGGCGTAGTTAGGTCCAAGCATTGACGGATTATTGATGCTGAGGAGGAATCCTTTCCCCCACCTTCAAAATAAATTGCTCTCTTTTAACCCCCCCCCCCCCCTACGCCGTTCCAATGGGGGAGCAAATTCCCCCGTGTTTCCCCGGGAACGATAAAAGTTGTGACCTACCAATAATACATGCAAGCGTAAATGAAGAATGTTTCATATTTATTAACGTAGCAGCAGCAAATCGTGTTCAAATTTAATCCAACAACCTCAATTATCAGTAGATAACAAACATGTTTATTTTGCTCTAATTACAAAATTCACAATTTTAAAATGTTAAATCGACGAAGAGTATCTATTTTTCATAAAGACAAAATGAATGTATGGAAGCCCAAAAATAATTTGAGACGATTTAGAACTAAAGATAAAGATAATCATGAAATTGTTAATTGAACTGAGATTCGTAAGTTTATGGTACGATCGAAGAGACATAAATATAAGTTTTAAATGTTGAGATGCAATGTTTTAGAATTTTTGTTATAGAAAATAAGGCATTGATAGAATATCCTTGATTTTTTGTTAAATGCTAATCATAAGGATCAACATCGAGAAAATATTATTATCATTATTATTATAACTATTATCAACACATTTATAAAATATCAAATAAGTCGAAATGTGTTTCTATTGTGTGTGTTTACATTATCATGGTCATGGGCCTAGGGGGGAGGGGTTGCAACTCCCCCCCCCCCCCCCCCCCAGTAAGAAGAATAGATGGCAATCATCAATCTTTATTGCGAGTAGTTACCATTCATTTATACGTTTAAGATTTACCGCATTAAATTTGAACGAGTCTTAAAGGGAAGGAGAGCTTGCATGATACGTCACAGAGATGCAAATTTATATTTGACTGATCACAACTTTTAAAATTCATAACGTTCTTATCTCTATCAGAATTTGCTCACTGAACTTTCAGTGACCTGTTAATCTTTTTGTCTGCCTCTGTTCAAACCTACTTATTTTTAGGGTGGATTTCCCCTTTAACTGTAATTCCTTTTCAATGATAGAATCCTCTTGCACATGGGACAGAGTGGGACTAAATCTAATAATTCCCATCATGTATACTCTTTTTTACATTAGTTCTTTGCCTATGTCGCAGGCAAATATTGAGGGGTGAAATGGTGTTACAGCTATATGCTCCCTAGCCTCTTAACAGTAGTACACGCATCACTACGTAAACATTTTACGCCTATGTATTGCCAGTTTTCTGAAACATTCGTGTATGTAAATATTCTTCCTGACATTAATTGTAATATGGTCAATAAAATATGATACTTTGTTCGTACAAACTGTGTCTAAAAAAAAACACTTGTTCTTTCAATAGCACTTACTTCTGTTCCCATTGAACACATACAATCCTATTTTTGACTCCAGAGTTCAGAGTCAGACCAGTTCATTATCACCATGGCCAAATTATTATAAATTACTTCTTCTTATTCCAAACATGTGCATTGTAGCACCCTTCAACACTGTCATGGTTCTAGTTTTACTAGAAGAAACCTAGAAATTATAATTTTGTTACCAGACATCTAACTCTTCAAACATTTCACTGAATACAAAGCTATTTTTATGCCCTGACAAAGTCATGAGCACAATGACTAAATCATTAAAAACCGCTGTACTTTAATCCAAATATGTTTAAAGAGCACACTTGTTATGATACGATTTGAAGAAACAGTTACTTTAATATTGACCAAATAAATGCCTTTCTTCTAAAATCGAGTTTCACCGTTATATTAAGTTTATGACTCATAACATTCATGTACATGAGACCTCTGAATAGGAAGAAAGGTATTGTTACAGGAAATATCTAGAACATAGATACACAGAAGTATATACATGTACACACTTGTGCATTGTTTGGGTTATTTTCCCTTCTATTGTACTGAAAATCTTTTGGTAAACTTTGAATGAACTTCCTGCCACACTTTGAATGTATTCCGTATAAACAGAACATACTCAAATTATGTCAGGCATAATGATACAAATTGATCTGATATCTTTAAGGACATGAGAGAGAGAGAGAGAGAGAGAGAGAGAGAGAGAACAAAAGAGTGGATGGAAGAATGAGAGTGATGACATAAGAGAGAGATAGAGAGAGAGAGAAAGAGAGAGAGAGCAAGAACAAAAGAGTGGACGGAAGAATAAGAGTGAGGACATGAGAGAGAGAGAGAGAGAGAGATAGAGAGAGGGGGGAGGAACTACGTAAAATGGAATAGCACACTGGATTCACGTTATACTAGCTATGATGCGTATCAGGACAATAACTCAGCAGAAAATTACCCGCGAGGACAACCATCCCCCGAAAACAATAACCCCCCCCCCCCTCCCGTAAATTACCCCCTGTTCATTAATGGGGAAGTCTATCCTAATAATAAGTTGGTTTTAATAAAAGCAGTTTTTTCGGGGGGGGGGGGAGGGTGTGATTGTCCAAGGGAAACATTTTAGGGGGTAATTGTCCTTCGGGGTATTGTACTATTATAAGGTAATTTTACGGGGGTAATTGTCCTGGCGAGGTTGTCCTCAGGGGTATTTTTCCGGGGGTGGTTGTCTAGGGGGTTATTGTCCTACAACCGTTATGATGAATAGACCTCTAGACCTGTGAAACTGGAGGACGACTATAACCAGTGACAACAAAACGTTTGTAGTATTATATACAAAGTGGATGGTTGAAGTTTTTATATTAGAAGAGGGGGCGAAAGTGCCATACAAATTAAAGGAAACGTGATCACTTCGGCGATGGTGCATTTATTGCACTCTGATAGATAATGCACACAAAACGGATCAAAACGAGTGTACATATTTATACCCAACAAAATATGACACATGTCATTGCAATCTATTTTGGCTATTCATATCTTGTTTTGATGTAAAATCCAATCATGCATCACATAGAGCATTACGACGCACATAAATTACGCCTACGGCGATTGCGAAACGAGCGGGTTTTCCCCAACTGCAAACTATTATTTACGCAATAACCAATCCATCCCAGGTATATCATTATTAAACGTGTATATGACTCAGCTTGATGCCACAACCTCATTATGTTGTTATATTGTAGGATTCGCAGTCATCAATCTAGGGACTATTTGCTCATGATTTGTCTGACATATCGCTCGATAGATGCATCTCTATGATATACTCCTATTGAACAATCTATCTTTAGGCATGTGCAGATGTCATTTGAACATTTCAAGGCAATTGGGAATCAAGTGCTAAAGTCAATGCGTATACCTAGATATTATATGGCATCGTGAAAAAATACTTGGATCAAAATCATCATTCTGGCAAGAAAGAAACGTCTGTTTGTACATATATAGATATATTTATATAAATATACACAACTGGAACTTTAAGGACAAAGTATTCATCGGATACGTTTAATCCCGAGATTGCTCAAGGTATTTACACGGACAGGCGTATAAAGCTCAGGAAGGTAACATTTCCAATAATTGTATTAATATTAGTATTATTAGTGTTATTATATTTTTGCTTTAGAGGTAAATTATTTTGTTCAGGTTCGTAACATGTTTATTTCTGATTCTGCTTTGAACTCCTGAACTTGTTTCGTTGAGGTTCTCAAAATACACTGTTGAGGTTCGATGCCTATTTTGGTCACGCTTTCAATATATTTTGTTCAGGTTCTGAAAATACTCTGTTGAGGTTCGAAACGTCGCCTTTTGTAGGATTCCCGCAGCATAACATGTTAGCCTATTGACTATTACACACAAAAATCGTTAAAAGAAATATTTAAAAAAGTAAAAAAAAATCGGTTTAGATGTTCATGGAAATCACATCCAACCAGGCATACGTTGACACTTGCTCTTTCATTGTGACCCTCATTTCCCATTCCATTTTAAAGTTCACCCGCCGTATTCTGATCAAAATAGGTCGCTTGTTGCTGTTGTTGTCGTTGTTGAGTTTTAAGGCTGTCCAATCTGGAGAAAAAAGATGTCCGCCTGCGACAAGGTCATTCAAATCTATTGCGTTGTATGCAAATAATTACCGTTGGTGAAGGCGATGGGACAAACTATCTATTCCGAGGCGATCTGGATGTAGCTGTCTTTCCAAAGCGAAGCTGAGGAAAGATAGCGTGTACATTCAGATCGGCGAGGGAGTGATAGTTTGCCATCGCCTGAAACTAAAAGGTGATTATTTGTTTCATATTCCACACCGGAAACATTTCATTTCTTCTGTCATTTTAGAGCAACAAGTCATCAATTAACAGCTAGCAAACGGTGTGCGATACGTACAGTGCATGCAGTATTTACGTGCGTACGTATACGCAACGGTATAAAATCTTCAGTGGAAGTGAATTGCACTGTACGTGTAGATAGAAGTACGATCTACACAGTGTAACGAACCTTTTTTTCTCCCATCAATGATGGGTGAACTATCCTTCATCACGTGATTTACCTTTGACCAATCATAGAGCAAAATTCTTAGTATGTGGAATATAATTTTATCTATGTGTTCATTTTGAGTCGCTTGTTTTATAGCTAAACTGTTGGCTCTGTAGTTCACAATGCGCAGGTATCCACTCAAAGTTTATGTATATACCAAATTGTGTCAATTTCTCCGAGATTTCTATAATTATACTATATTTTTCCATATTTTAAAAAGCCTTCATGGCTGACATTGAATCTGATAATATTACTAGAGTCTACATAATATATTGGGAGATACTCCACTATCCATTGTAAGGCTAGGATGATCGCTCAGTTCGGCAGTCATTACTGGGGTGGTTCTATAACCTCTACTTATCTTAAATTTTGGAATATCAAAAGCTGCACCCGTTAGACCATCATCAAGTTCGGATTCATCTGTATATTTTTCAAATAGTTGAAATCTTTTTCTAATGCACAATTCAACTGCTGTATTGGAACCGACTCTTTCTTTTTCACTTGATCATGTAATATATCGAAAGAAACATTTGGTTTCATAAAATGCAAAGAAGTAGTGCGAGGAGTATAATCCGCATCCGTTTATAATAGGCCTGACAAGGTCTTTATATACCATTAGCGTACACCATTGCGTACCAGCTATACAGCCTGAAAATTCAGGCGTTTTTTTCCATTTTCCAACAACACTATCAATATGAGTGGCCCAAGTTAATCTGTATTTAAACCAGATTCCTAGGAATTTGTGTGAATTATGATGGGGAATAATCTTTTCGGAAACCCAATTGAAACGAGGTAATTAATAACATCATATTTTTCAATAAACAATGCCAAACTGTGTTTAACCATCCTCTCCATAAGCTTACAGAGTACTGGAGATAGTGAGATGTGTCTGTATAATTATGACGAAGGCTTTGATGGATATCCGGGCAGAATGGAACAGTCCCAGATCTCATCCAGGCTCTTAACTTATTTTTTCAGGTTTTAAACCCATTTAAACCCCAGGATTGTCGGAGATGGAGAGGATTATTCGCGATCAGATGGGGCTGAGGACTTTGGTGAACATCCCTACCCGTGAAGGAGGGCTCACCAACGTATGCCAGAGTTTCCAGACAGAGAGGGGAAATCTCTTTGTCAAGATGAACACCTTGAGCCAGGTAGGGTTTCTTGGAATTGTGCTTTCTAATGATGATGATGATGATGATAATGATACAGAAAGTAGTGACAGTAATAAACAATATATTTTACTACTACTATACTACTACTACTACTACTACTAATACTACTATTAAAATATTTAGCTTTTATAAAGGGCTTAATACAGTGTCTCTAAGCGCTTTACAAATATACTATTACCTCGGTCATTGGATTCAGTGCTTGCCCGCACACACCGTGTGCACAACCTCCACTCACTGGGGAGCATTGCAGCCAGGCGTTACTTGCTGTATGACCAACAATGACGTTCGCATCCTACCGGTTGGAGAGTAGCAAGTGCAGGTTAATATCTTGCCAAAGGGATTCCAACCCTCGACCTTTGCATCTCCAGTCAAGCGCCTTAAAGCACTAGACCACGATACTCCCACTTACACTACTACTATACTACTATTACTACTACTATTACTAACAGTTACTACTAATAATGATAATCCGGACTTATATCAATTAATTCACTCAGTGTCGTCCACTATGGCCGCTATAATACCTCTGAAGAGCCATACATCATGAATATCCATCTTAGAGGTGTGATTTTGTGTTTGTATATACCTAGGTGATCAGGGTCAAAGAATCCATTTATACAACCTACAATGTGCGTACGCGCCTGTGTACGGTGCTTGTTAATTCACCAAGACTGGGCCAATTTTCTTTGAAGATTCTAGAACCTTGCAATACACACCAATACTTAGTACATGCTACATGAGCAACCTTTTCTGTCACAATGCATGGCCAGAACTCAACTTTATCTTTAAGCTATACGTTCCCAATATTTTTGTTAATGTAAAATATTCTCATTGATGAACGACAATTACGACATAATTAGCTTTATTGCATTATTCACTTTCTCTAGCTGAACGAATTTAAGAAGAAGGTGCTCTGATTCAAAAATTTTAGATGATAGCCGAATATGAAACCAAATAGACATTACCTTAGACGAGATGGATTATTGCGTAATAATCATCCACCATCTCATTTTTGCAGACAAGGACGATGTTCGAAGGCGAGAAGGCGGGCTTGGAGGCCATTATAGCCACGGGAACGGTTCCATGTCCGAGTCCTAACGACATCTATGACAACGGTGATGGCCCGGGGTCTATCTTCGTTATGGAACATCTTGATCTCAGAGATCTAGACCAGCAGGGTGCAGCGTTGGGTGAAGCTGTCGCAAGGTAAACCATGTAAACAGTAAAAAGCGTATAGTGGGGTGGGGGGGGGGCAAACGGGGCATCCCTCCACTAAAAACTAAGAGATGAACCACCGTACTGCACCACCTCTCATCGGGACATTGGGATGACCTGCTGTTTTCCCTCGGGAAAATACCTGAATTAACCGGGTAATTATGATGTTCATCAGATGGTAAAATGGGAAATATTGGATTGTCGTCAATTAAAACATATCAATTCAGTGGTCTTTGAAATTCCTCTTCATCTTAGTGCCTCTTACTTGAAATATTCAATTAATCCTGTTTATCATCAATATTCTTACGTTCTATTAGATATCTTCTTCGTGTTTTCCCAAACCACAGACCGAATCATGTCGCATGTTTTTTTCTTATCGGGGCATTTCGTTTTAACGTCTTACCCACTGTTGTCAAGAATTTCCAACTTACAATGAATCCATAAGGGCAATAAATGAACCGCTTTGAAATAGGTTTCCCTTTAAAAATGAAAGTGTTGAGGTCTGATTTCGGTTCGATTGGGCTGGGCATGTTATTAAAGTAAGTTTTATTTGATATAAAGTGTATTGTACTTGATATTATGTCAATAGTTTATGTTGTGATATTTTATTTTCGGCTCGGTGTAAAAATGTCAGAGGTTAAAATGTCAGTTGTAAAAATATCAAAACAAAAACATGTTACAAGTCGAATATTGGTAATGGTTGTATATTACGCTTATCGAAAACGAATAACGGAGGATTCTCTGCAGCCATTATTTCAGCGCTGCTTTATTTTCTTCTTTCTTTCACTTGTATTTACCTTTCCGCCCAAAATTGTGACTTTTCGCCCGATTACTGCCGAGGGGAGGCGGGGGGGGGGGGGGGGGGGGTTATCCCCAACTTCAACGCCAAGGCCATCAATCACAGAGTACATCTTTCAAGCCTTAAACAAAAAATAGAATCTTCACTTCTCTGGCTCCTTCTTACCTTATTTTTTACCCAATATGTTTACCTCTCACATTATTACTTCTGACATTTTTACATTTGACATTTGTACCTCTGACATTATTACCTCTGACAGTTTTACCTTGACATTTTTACCTCGCACCTCATTTTCTCTCGTTTGCTTGTTTAATATTTAGATCACCTCTACTCAACAGCTGTGCTGTTATGGCACAGTTGAGCAGGGTGAATCTTTTAAATAATTTATTATCATACTTTTTTAATACTTTTTTTAATACTCAATAAATAAAATCAATCAATCCAACCCAGGTTGCATCTGCGCAACAGTCGTCTCATGTTGATAGAGGAAAAGAATGACGGAAGGATAGGTGGTTCTCATCACGTGACATTGGAGGAGAATAGGGAAGAAGAGGAAACCCAACGATCTGTCTCTCAGTTTGGATTCGGTACCACCACCTGCTTGGGATACTTGGCTCTGGATAATACATGGTCCGATGATTGGGTGGTAAGCCGGTTGGTCGGTCGTAAAGGTTAATTGCTCAGACATGACGCGACAAACCGCCGCAAAATGGCCGCCGCGGTGTTTTTTGTTACGTGTGAATAAATGACAACCGCGGGCGACAAAGGGCTTGCGCCTATTCACTGAGCTCTGTGATATAAGATACAGAAATGAAAAGCGTACTACACACTACGTCATCATTAACAAAATTAAAAAATCCGCCGCCATTTAACCGCGTCATGCCTGAACGACCCTGCGCCTTAAGAGTGGTGGATTGAGAGAGAGAGAGAGAGAGAGGGGGGGGGGTTCATTGTGAAATCCAAGCAAGGGGGGGGGGGGAGTGAGCACTTTTTGCCCTCGAAAATTTTAAAAATTGCACCCCCCCCCCCCCCCCTCCCTCTTAAGCGCCAGGGGAGGGGGCCATCTCCAAAAAAAGGTAAAATTAACGTGTTTCACGATCCGCCACTGAATCAGTATGCAAAAGCAAACTTGCTTATCATAGGCATATATATCTCAGTGATGCATTGAGGGGGGGGGGTGTCCGTGACTGTCCTAATTGTTGAAAGAAGTAAAATAATATTATGACTATTGTATCTTGAAATATTCACCGCCTTTGATTATGGGGATCCTTACTCAGCTTAACAAATACGAAATCACCCATTAACCAGGATAACTCATGAAATCAAAAGACTTTTCTTTCTGTCTATTCTCAGGAATTTTTCGTCCGCCAAAGATTAAAGCCTAAGTGGGATTGCATTGAACAAAACTCGGGGAACCGAACGCTGATTGAACTGTGGCCGCATATAGAACGGCGTATACCGAGCTTATTCCGCAGTATCGACCGCATCACCCCAGCCCTGCTGCACGGCGACCTACACGGGGCAAACGTTGCCGAAACAGCGACTGGCCCAGGTGAGTTGCGATTGGCAGGGGGGGGGGGGGGGGCTTTGTTACAAGATATGGGAATATGTGACGACATCCCCCCCCCCCGTCCTTCCATAACATATTATCTGTTAGAAAGTTTGATTTTGTATAGGTTGTTGGCAAAACTTTAAAAATATGACTTAGTTTTAGTTTTATTTGTTTTATTATTTGTTTTGTATTCTGTTTGTTTTGTTTTATTTCATTAACTGATAAAGGATTAGGGCGAAGGTTTCGATTATATTTTATCCAAATTATGTAAGGCTATCTATTAGTTTGGAAAACCGTTAACGTTAGAGATTGACTGCGGATATATTTTGCAGCAACTGTCATCAAAGTACAAGGTCTATATGTTTTTCATAGGAACGTTTAATGTTGCTTTACTTCTACAACTACTACTACTACTACTACTACTACTACCACCATTACCACTTCTACTATTGTACTATTACTACTACTAATACTTCTACTACTACTACTACTACTACTACTACTATTACCCACAACGACTACTACTATTCTACTTTTACTACTACTACTACTACTACTACTACTACTACTATTATAACTACTAATACTACTACAGTAGAACTTGTATAGGAAGACTTTCTGTCTTTTCAGACCCCATTTTCGTTTCCCTTGAAATTATTTCTCACTGAAACCTGTACATGAAGACCACTTTTCTTGTCTTCCCTGAGAGGTACTATAAGGTTTTACTAGTACTATGACTAGTATAATACATTTTGCAGTGATCTTCGATCCCGCCTGTTTATACGGGCATCACGAGTTGGAGCTGGTAGCGACCCGAGACTATGTCGACTTCAACCAAGAATTCTTTCCAGCTTATCACAGACTGATACCCAAAGCAGAGGGCTTCGAACAGAGGGAAAGACTCTACAAAATATTCTCCTATCTCAACTACTGGTAAGACATTATTAATTGGCTAATCCAACGGGAGCAGAGGTTACATGCCCTTCCCGGCAGAATCCAATCTAGCATATAACAGGCCATATATTTATAGAACAAACAAAATGCCCTGCGTTGTGCTCCCTTTTGCTATCTCGGACTCCCAAATGCACATAAAAGAGTGATCACCCGTTTTATATTTGTAATTACTTATCGCAGATTTATATGGGTATCTCTAATTATTATCTATTTATCCATTTTATTATCTATTCCATTAATTATCAATTAATTAATTTATCATTTATTAACTTACATATTTATATGTATACTTATTTATTTATCCATAGATTTAGTTATTTATTCATGTATTTATTTATCCAATAAATATTTCTACATTTATTTTGCTTATTACTGACTTTACAGACGTATGCCTCCTTTACTCTCCACCCCCGCCGAAAAATCCTGGATCCGCAACTGGAATCCCAATATTAGCCATTTTAGTTCAGCATTCTTTAAAATAAAATCAAGTGATGGGGTTCTTTTTTTTTTGTTCTTTAAAATTGTTGACAGAGTCTTTGCTCATTGTTTACACAAAAGGATGCCATATGGCCAACCTCCCTTCCTCATTTCCTGATCCACCTAGGCTCGGGGAATTCCTCGGGGAAATCCCTAAAGTTCAGACAGTGCCTGACTGATACATTAAAGTTGTATTTGATCCTTTTTGATAGAACGCCATCTGACGTTCATTGATCTTTCTTCGAATTTAATTAAAAATCAAACCATTATATCACCAGCCCTCCGACATACGCTTATCATTAGCGAGCATTTAAAAAAATGTAATTTCTTTAACATTGTTGACAGACTCTTTATTTCATTCTTATAAAAAAAGTCGCCACATTGCCAACCTCCCTTCCTCATTTCCTGATCCATCTTGAACTCGGGGAATTCCACGGAGGAATCCCCAAAGTTTAGACAGTGCCTCACTGATACAAATCCAATTTGTTTGTTGATCTTTTTTTATAGTACGCCTTCAAGTGCCACTAGTTGCATATTAATTCTGTTAATGACTTTGTGGATTATGACGATAGATTATCACACGATTATTCAACAGAAAATGTCAAGTCACCATAAATCTTTTAAGTGTCAAAGGTAAATGATATCGTGCAGAATAGTGCTCAAGATTATTATAGGCTGCTAGCTTCAGTTTTAGTCTTCTTAGTTCTCACTGTATATTAGCGTTTTGGGGCGCTTTTTAAACTTGCACTACTGTTAAGAAAATCGAAATTGCACTGTTATAATTGTTTATGGTTAGTGTAATTTCAAAGCCAAGTGGATTGAAACTGAATTTAATTAGCAACCAAGAAATGATTTAACACCCTAAATTGTAATTGTAATTAACTTTGAAAATACGTATTTAACCTTGAAAATACGTAATTAACCTGTTTATTGAAATTAATTGTTTAATGATGGTAATCCAAAATTATGGATTTTATTGCGATGAGTTTATTTGAGTCGCTTTGATTCGATTTGTAATGATGTAAACTTATTGTTATTGTTTATATGCCCTTTTTATTGAAATTAATCGTTTATTGATGGTAATCCAAAATTATGGATTTTATTGCGTTGAATTTATTTGAGTCGCTTTGATTCGATTTTTAATGATGTAAACTTATTATTGTTCAAGTTCATTTTATTTCCATTTCTCGTATAAAAATACATTTAACAATACATTATACATATAAGCAAATATATAAATATAAATAATACAAAGAATATGGAGGAGCCAGCAGAGGCCATTGGCCTTTCAAAGGCTGGGCTCCAGTGTCCTCAGCTAATAATACAAAGTACAGAGAAAGAAAAAAACAAACAATGGGTAGTAAGTAAATAAACAAATGAGTACAGGCTAATTGAATTAAACATACGATAGGAATTCCTTCATTAAATAGTTCTTGTATTTACGTTGTATTATTGTTATTGTTTATATGCCCTTCTTGCAATATTTAGTGATGTTAGTTTAATTATTTGATATTTTAACTTATGTAACTTATGTGTTTATTCATTACTGCTATTCTTTTGTGTATATTTGATTTAAATTTTATTTTGTGCCCAAGACAGTTGTCAGTCTTCGAACGGTTTGCTCTTGGTTTTTTATGTTTTGATTTCAATAAACTCCAATATATATTTGATTGGTAAATTCCAATCCAATTGTATGATTGTTTTTACTCGCATGGTCCCATGTGAGACTAATCGATTTTGAATGGGCTACCCTGTGAATACATATTAGAAAAATGAAAATAAAAAATTGAATAGGCATGCCAAACACGAAACCAATTATTACATGTGTATTCAAGAATATTACACAGGCCTATCCAGCAAGGCATTAGGCCAATGTGTGCGCCTATGCCAACAGTTTTGCCGCTTTCCGTCTGAAAATTAATTTATTATTCAACACACAACGCGCCATCTTATATGGGAGGTGGTGACACCCCTCCCTGTTTACCAATTTCTGGGTATGCTAATGTAATGCTGCATTTATTTTGTCTTAATATATGTTTCTATGTTTCTTTCTTTCTTTTCTTTTTGTTATTTGCAGGAGTCTCTTTGACGACAGGTACAAAGATAAAGTGACAGCGCTATCTACAGAACTATTGGCAAATTGATTACATATATAAATATATATTATATCTAATATATTAACACATATGGTAGCTCAATATTAATATATAAAAATAGGCTATGGCAATAATTCCTTGAAAGATTGTGCAATCATATTCATCCAATGAAATTCAAATATGTTTTTGGAAGTTGTACCGGCCTAATGACTAGTGGCATAGTAAGGTCCAGGCATTGAGTAGTTATTGGTTTCCGGGGAGGGGGTGGTCTTCATAGGTTGATGAAATGCGAGAGAGCAAGGCTATCGAGTAAGGGGTAAGAGGTAGGGGGGGGGGGGTCTTTTCGTCTTCTCATATTCCTTTCCCCACCTTCAACAAAATCTCTCTTTTTACCCCCCCCCCCCCCTCCTTTGGCTATTCCGATGGGGAGGGGGCACGTGCCCCCGTGCCTCTGGCGCTAAGCCATTGATTACGACCTATTATAACATGATGACGTGGATCCTAATCAAAAGATTGGTTGAAAGCGTACACGTGACCAGGCATTTATTCTGCCTAACGTGTAATTTAGATAATGACCGGTCATTAGTAAAATAATGTTATAAAACATCATTATATATAACAATTAAAACATAATCATTTAAAACAAATAATACACAGCATTTTGTTCGGGCAATAGTAAAATTACCCACACTCGGTACCTTCAAAACAGTCTAAACACCCTCGTCTACCGCCTCGGGGATGTTAGGCCATTTAAGAAATATACATGTTTAGCGTCCACGCCCTCTTCCTTTTTTGGGGCCGCCTCCTATTATTTATTTTTTTATTTTTATTTTATTTTTATTTTTTTTAAGAAAAAAAAGAAGAAAAACACTGCTAAAATGGATATATTTCTGATTTAAAAAAAAAATGATGATAAAAATGTCGGTGGCCATTTTGAAAAATAGCCCGACGGTCAGGGAAAATGTACCGAGCGGCCATTTTGAAAAAAAGGGAAAAAAGGGGCCTCCTTCCTATTTTTCAAAAAAACAGGACGCTAAACATTTTTTCTTTATTTGGCCTTAGGCTGTTCCAAATGTACCTTGTGTGGGTAATTCTTACTAATGCCCTCGATGATGTGTTTTATTTGTTTACCAATACTATGCAAGCGTGAATGAAGAATGTTTCATATTTATTGATTTAGTAGCAGCAAATTGTAACAAAATTTATTCCAACAACTTTCATGATCAGTATATAATAAGCAGAGAATCTATTGTCCATAAATGCATGGGAACCCGATGTATGGGAATCTGACAATAATTTAACTCTGTTTAAAAGCAAAAGATACAGATAACCATGACATTGTCAAACGAACTGAGATTTGAAAGATTAAAATGTGATCAATGAGACACAAGTACAAGTTTTAAATGATGAGATGCAATGTTAAATGGAATTAAAGGATGAATAATATAACAATATTTTAGAGAATGGTGCATTGAGGGAAGATCCTTGAATTAAACAAAAACATAATCGTTATGATCAACATCGACAAGTTATTACTTTTATTATGACATGTATAACTATTATCAACGCATTTATAGAATAGCAAATATGTCGAAATGTGTTTCTATTGTGTGTGTGTTTACATGAATCATGGTCATGGGCGTAGGGGCGGGAAGGGGGAGGGGGTTGCAGCCCTCCCCCAGTAAGAAGAATAGATGGCATTCATCACTTTATATACGGGCTACGGGGTGATCTATTGATGCTCTCCAATGCCTTAGGCCAAATTAAAAAAAAAAACATGTTTAGCGTCCTGCTTTTTTGAAAAATAGGAAGGAGGAGGTCCTTTTTTTCTTCAAAATGGCAGCTCAGGACATTTTTCCTGACAGTCGGGCTATTTTTCAAGATGGCCGCCGACCCTTTTTTTTTAAATCAGAAATAGATCCATTTTAGCAGCTTTTTTTATTTACTTTTTCTTTAAAAAAAAAAAAAATTAAAAAAAAAAAAAAATAGGAGGCGGCCCCCAGAAAGGAAGCGGGCGGGGACGCTAAACATTTTTTTTAATGGCCTTAGTATATACCTAGTATATTTTGATGACGAAATGTTATTGTAATCGTAATAAATTGTTTAATTTTTTATGTTCGATCGTCATTGGGAAAGTATAAGGTTTTTATTCTGACAAAAGAGGTCACCCCCCCCCCCCCCCACACACACACACACAATTCTGCCCTATGTCTTTTTATCTTGGTTAAATGCGTAGCAACATTAATTTCCTTTTTTTAATCATTTGTCATTCTCTTTAAAAAAATGAGTGAAGATTGTACAGTGACCAAATTGTGTAATTGTTATAGTACATGTATGTGGAAAATAGATTTGTCCAGATTCGTATTTCTTGTGAATGGATGATATTAAAGCTCGCGTCCAAAAATATGCAGAAAATGACATAATTTAACCAGTTTACTTTTATTTCTTAAGCTACGTAAAGCACATGAACAAAAAAAAATCAAATCTAAAATATTTATTAGCTGATTATAAATCATGACTGTATAAGTAAATCGGATGGATACGATCTCAAACTGAATTACCATTGGTCAAAAGTGTTATCAACAAATTAGTATGAACTGTAAACCTGACATTTCATCTTTAACAAATGTATAAATTCATGTGCTTGGTATAGGAAACGATTCCGCTTTGTACAATAAATCTTAGTCAGTCTAAATGTCTTCTCTCTCTTCCTCTGACATGTTTATACATGCCCGGTTATCAGACTATTTGTTGTACCTTCATTCCCGATTTTTCGATGTTTTAATGATGATGGTTTACGTTTGAAATAAAAGTGTAAAGCCATGTATGGTAGTATTTTGTGGTATAACGAAATTGAGAGGAGCAGGTAAGTCAAAGTTTGAGCAATTCCGAGTAAAAAAAATAAGAAAATAATACATTTTTCAAATTGCGATTAATCAAACACAAATTGGCAAATCTGTGGCGTATCTTGCGAGATCCGGAATTTTTATTTTCCCTCCAGAATTTTTTTAATCGTACATGCACCCAAATTTAATCATTGCAGTTTCTATACAACCCCTGTTGACGTTAATTCAGCACAAGCACCCTCATCCACCAACTGTCTATTTAAACAAAGGAGTCCTGCCAATGCCGTGTTATGATACCATGACGTTTAATGCGCAAAGCACAAAGCAATGCACAATGACTGAACTTCTGAAGCGAAGTGACGTGAAGTAACCATGAAGTGTGGTTCAATCTGTACATGAACAAACAAAAAATAAACAATAATAAATACCTCGCTCACAAATCAACAATCCCAAGCATTATCCAATACTGCTCTATTGTAAGACAAATAGCTGAATCTTATTACCACTAAACTGCTTTAATAAGCTTGACTTATCAATATTCATGAACATTTCATACAAAACGTCCATTCCCACCCAGTGACTGTCAATGTCAGGAGTCAAATTCTACACAACTCATAATTAACCATGCCAGTTTTTGTGGCTAAATCATCCTTTCACATTACTAAGTAATTTACCTACGGCTATCTTGCTTGTAAACCTCATAACATTTATATCCCTAACCTTACATGTCATTATTTATGTTTCAAACGGGCCTTTATCAACTCATATACATGTACTCGTTTATACATGCTCATGCGAGCAGCCATTTTGAAATGCCCAACCATGTAGCTATTCCACAACACTTTTCATCAAATACAGTTACTAATACACCTTAAATTATCACAAATTAATAATCATACTACTCTTTAACATCTCAACTACAGGATTTGACATAAATTAACACTTACAACATTGGGCTTCGACAGGATTGACTTGATTAATAGTCGGCGGAATCACTGGGTAAATCTTCCCACTCACAGAAGAATTTGCTGTCCGTAGTGGTAAACGCCCCCACCGGCCAAACTAAGTTATTACTAAAATGACGACAAAAATCTGCCCGCAACAACCCCGAAATGGAGTAATAATAATAATAATAATAACTATACAGAGTTATTGGCATATACATTCCTTTTTATCTTGACGTAGCATCATGCTAATGGAAAAAATGTAGCGGTTCTAATCATCTGTTCATGATGTTGAACAACATAAAAGAAAATGTATTATTTTACACTCAACAGAACTAATTCTAGTATCAATGAAAAGTAAAATGTTAAGCTTAAGATTCGTGATTGAAACTAGAATGAATGGTTATCAGATCAGAGGGTATGAAGATTTGGCTTACCTCGAAATGGTGCATTCTTTTTTTTTTCTTTTATCATACTCGCCTTGAAACGTCCAAAATCTTTGAAACGCTGGCTGTATCAATTGACAACACCACCTGCTGTAGTGGTAGTGATGCCGAGCAGGACCTCTTCAGCAGCTCTTCCTCTTCCGCTGCTAGTTTTGGCCCACCGCAGCACACATCCTCACCCATGAAGCGCAGGAAAAAGGTATCCAAGCCAGAGAAACAACTTCGTAGCATGAAAAAATTTTAATTTCCAGAGTATAAGGAACACGAAGGAGGAATCGGCTGTTCTTATAGTCTAAGAATCAACAAAACCCAGTATCATCATTGGGGCTCAAACCTGGCTCAACAGCTCAATTTTCATCTCAGAGATTTTCCCGCCTAGCTACAGTGTAGTGCGAAAAGATCGAGAGGATGGTCATGGTGGAGTCGTACTAGCAGTAAGAAGTGACTCGAAATACAACACCTTGCAAATACGAGACAAAGGAGAGCATGTTACATCAAATTGTCATTCGGAAAAGCCTAACCGTATCTCCATCCCAACAGCAACACGCATTACGATTGAACAACTTTCTGTCCAGAACAGGAAGGCAGTCTTGTGGATAGGTGACTTCAACCTACCGGACGTTGATTGGGAAGACTTATTTGTGAATGGTCACAGTAACCCAGTTTCTATCAACAAGAGATTCATATACATGATGCAGAACTGCAACTTCCAATAGATGGTTACCATTCCAACACTAGGACATAATGTATTTGATCTCTTTTTAACCAACATACCAACGCTGATCAACAAATGTACTCTACCAACTGATATTGGTGATCATTAATCATTACATTGTTGGTGTTGATTTAGGTAACAGCAAAACGGAGTAAGCCGGTGAAAAGAAAAATGTATCTATGGAAGAAAGCTCACCTGTTGGAAGAAGAAAAAAACAGAACCTGCCGTCTGTTTCAGCAAGATTTCCTGAACAAATATACTGAACAGATCTCAGTGCATGAGATGTGGAACTGTTTCAAGATCCATTCGGTTTAGTAGTCACAAGGTCGTTGAAACGATTATCAAGGAGGAAAAGGCGGGCCTTCAAACATTCCCGAGCAACTGGCAGACAGGAGGATTTTAACAGGTATCGTCAGATCAAGAAATCAATTACTCAAGCAGCTTGCAAACGAGCCTCCAAAGAATACATCAACAACATCATCAGCCCCGACTCCACGGCAAACCACAAACGATTCTGGAGTTTCATGAACAGTAGGATGGACGACAGTACCGGAACAGCCCCACTAAAAGACATCTATGGGGAGACAGATTCAGACAGCATGGAGAAGGCTAACATACTAAATCACCAGTTTACATCAGTATTTAATAGGAATGAAGTCATGTCAGCCATGAAGGATAAAGGACCGAGTCCATTTCCAGACATGAATTAATTCCGGATCTAACCAGCTGATGTCTACAAACTGCGTTTTTCTCTCCAGATACATAACGCTACCGGACTGGACAAACTTCCTATACAACTACTAAAGGAGCTGTCATTACAAATAACTCGAGTATTTTCTATGTTTTTTAAACTTCACTGAATCAAGGAGACGTTCCAGAGGACTAGGCGAAGGCAGACGTAGCTCTCATCTTTAAGAAGGGAGAGCGGTGCCAGGAAGTCAACTACAGACCTGTGTCACTGACATCTACTTTCTGCAAGACATTGGAACACATCGTGTGCAGCAGTATCCTTGAGTATCTTGATGACTTTCACATTCAGTCAGATGCTCAACATGAATTCCGGAAGAGACGGTCTTACACAGCCCAACTTATCCTCACTATTCAAGATCTTTCCCCGGAAAACCATCCACGAGGACTATTACCCCCACCCTTGAAAATAACCCCTAGGATAATTCCCCCCCCCCCCATCCCCGGACAACCAAGGACAACCACCCACGAGGGTAACTGTCCTCGGAGAGGGGTGATTGTCCAAGAGGGTAAACATTTTGTTTGGGGGGGGGGAATAATTGTCGAATGGGAGGGAAATGATTGTCCAAGGGGGTTATTTTTTAGGACAGGGGGTAATGTCCTCGGGGAGGGATATGATTGTCCACGAGGGTAATTTTCCGTGGTTAATCGTCCTCGGGGTAGGGTGTGAGTGGGGGAGGTGATCTTCCGGGGGTGATTTTCCCTCACTTCTCCCAAAAAACAACTCTGTACGGTGCTTCCTGCAAAAAAACATGACGGCCTGCCCACCAAAGATAAAGGAGTTGTTGTGCAAGACATTAGTAATTCCTGTGATGGAGTATGCTGCAATATTTCGGGACCCATTCACTGCCCATTCACCCAGGAGAACATCAGAAAGGTGGAAATTGTGCAACGCCGTTGTGAACGCTTCGTCCTGGGTGACTAGCACCGTCACAGTCGTGCTGAATCAACTTCAAAGGGCAAGTCTGCAGGAAAGAAGGGCGCAGTTGAAAGTATGCACGGTTTACAGCATACATCACTGCATGGTTATTATTCCAGTCAGTCACTTACTTCATACTAGTCCACAGTCTTGATTGTTTCCGTGTCGCGCGCCTAATCAGCTGAGAAAAAAACACGCATTCAACGCTGAACCTGTGAAGGTAGTCCTTGCCTCTTATTCTAATGGTTGTTTTGGGGGATAGCACGATGAGTGGAGACACCGTGCTGTGTGTGGGATGCGTGTATTAGGGAGGAGGAACATAGATGATTGAAGAAAAACAATTATATAAAAACGGACTGAATTTGAAATAACTTTATACCAGTTGTTGGTACACGAACCCGTGGAAATCCACAGAAGTTCCAGGTCCCCTTCCAACTCTGCTATCCCACACCACATTTTACCCATATGCTATCCTACTGTGGAAGTCCGTACCATCTGCTGTCATCAATTACACCTCTTTAGAACTTTTCAAGCAGAAGGTGCAACACTCTATGCTCCGTTGAGCTTCAGACTGTTTTTCGCTGCACGAAGAGTTCTTGCGGAGCCTTTTTACTTGCACTGTACACTTGGCACTTTACAAGCACAAGGTATGGTATACGCCTACGGTTGTCGGTACTATACTGGAAGAAGAAAAAGAAGAATTATTTAAGAACTTGAGAGCACTATTGATGGACAGGGTGCGTTCACATGGATATGCAAGTAAAATATGAAGGAAAGGAAAAAGAAATGATGTACCTGAAGAAAAAAAAAGAGTGAATATGCTCATCAAGTGTGCGCCTTAGAAAACAAGATACCATAACCGCCTAAGAGTCCTTGGTTGCCCAGAAAAAAGGGTAAGACACCAATAAGATTGTACCTGACCTAGCAAAAGAGATTGAAGTTGATCTCATATTAGAAGACATCGAAAGGAGTCATTGTGTTGGTCCAAAGAATGAAGATGGACTCCAAGGCATCATCGTGAAGGTCAAATCTTACAGGAAGCGCCGTGAATTCCTGTCCAAGAGAAAACTGTTGAAAGGAAAGGAAAGGGAAAAACAATCGAAACATGAAGCAAAACTGATCAGAAATCATGATGACTTCAAGGCACTGCAAAATCAGAAATAAACCCTTGAACAGACTCTACGAACGGACATCTCTGAAGATTAAACTCATCCGCTTAAACTTGTAATTAAGTTTTTTAGCATCAGCTTCTGGAAGAAATTGAATTCATTGGATTTCAATGTGACAGAACCCAGAGTCTGTGAAATTCTCAAAGATGCCGTCGTCGTTTCACATAAGAGTCGCGGATGTGACTCAAGTGGTTGTCATGGACGTGACGGGACTATTATCACAAACGTGTCGGAATTCGAATTCGTAGTTCCTACTGGGGTAAAAGATGTGATCGTGACAGGAATGGTTTTTAGAGGATGTAACAGGAATGGAAGACGAGAATGGAGTAGAAGAAGACGTCATGGATGAAACAGACATGGTTAATGAGTTAGTTGCAAAGAAACATTTAATGCAAAAGCAGTACATGAATATGAATAAATGCATGAACGTGTACAATGAGTTCTTACCTTGTAAAGTAGGTGTCTGTGGACCTGTAAAAAATCAACAAAACAAAAATGAACTACTACTAATTGGTTATGAAATAAATCATAACAATAAATCATTATTGTTTATTTATAATTCTTGAAAAGTGATATACGCTAGCAGTAGAACCATGTCATTCTAAAAATACATGTTTTGTAATAACTATGCACACCATCAAATGACCACGTTTAAAGTTAAAGATCAGTTCAAGTTATTTTGCATACCTATTTCAATTGTAACGTTGAACGAACACGACGCATCGTTTCCAGCTCTGTCAGAGACAGTGAAAGTGTAGGTTGTCGTTCCTACAGGATAACCATCCCTTGGATTTATGAAGGGCTGAATTGCAGTAGCATATAGTTCGCCAGAGTTATCGGAAATGCCTTTGAGCTGGAATGCCGTGGATTCAACTGAGGTGTGATCCTGGTATACGTCATCTGGACAGACGATTACAGGGGGCTCCCGATCTGTTAGTGATATGGAAACAATGAACACATATTTATCATAGCATCTGATTCCATTATGACGCTTTCTTTTGATGTCACACTTAATAATTCAGAAATTGTTCATATCTTAACACACCCAATGACGTCAAGAAATGAAACTCGTCTTTAGATCACATTTGCTTGTAGCATGTAAGAGGTAGTGTGATATTTACTTGCAGCATCAATTTTGAACAGAAAATGTTACTTGTAGTATGTAAGAGGTAGTGTGATTTTTTATACCTACAGCATCAATTTTGAACAGAAAATGTAATGAAGCTACTAGCTACTTGACCGTGTTTTTGCAAAACTGAGTCTCTAAACCAGGGTAGTGAAACACATCACACGAGGAAGTATAGCTCTCTAGACAAGTATCCAATCCTGTAAGTAACAAATCGATTAGTTTGGACAGACAGATTGGAAGTCCATCGTAATATAAACCAAGGTGTGTATTAAAACCGACTTCATTATGACTTCATATCAGGAATCGGAATTCTTACCTTCTACAGATACCCTTGCTTCTGTACATGCCTTTGAGAGTGTCCCATCTGTTATCGTAACGGTGACAGTGTGTGCTGTTTGTGAGATGTCTAGTCTGGGACTGCTAGAGCTACCACCGTAAGTTCTCATCATCGTGATACTTCCATAGGGATCATACGTCGTAGACTCAGGTAGATACGTGACGTTGAATTGTGGGTCTTGGTAAGTGTAGAAAGGTTCACCAGAATCTGTCCCGATATTTAGATCCACGGGTTCAGGGCAGACGATTGGAAGCTCTTGTACTGTAGGTATAAAAGTAGTAAGAGATAATGTTATACCACATGAAAATGTATTTTAAATATAACCCACAATATAAAGTAAGACGAAAAAGGCTTGGAATAAGTTCAATTTATCTTCCTAAAATGATTTTAACCTCCCTAAATAACATTCAAAGTTATTAGTTGGGCCCCAACTGTCCTCAGGGCATGTTTTTTTAAATAAAAATCCCTGATTAGGAAAAACAATACTCACATGTTCTACGAAATTTCTTGGTGCTTTTTCTTGACAAACAGTCAAATTTCCTTTCATGTACTTCCGGGTATTTGAATAAAAATATAACTAAAAAAATTGTCAATCAGCATTATCATCTGTATTATTTTTCCTCAGCAATTAAGTTTAATACGTACATCGCAACTAACTTCAATCTAACTTGGGAATGAGATGCGAATTAACAAGGCCAAATAATGTTCAGCGTGAGAGGGGGTCCTATCATTTTTATTATTATTCTTTTTTGTTGTTGGTCCCTCTGATCTTTAAAAACATATGCCTATCAAGAGGGAAGAGGATTATCTCCACTCCCCCGCATCTGTGCCACTGGTTACAACAATAAAAAACATCATTCTCCAAATCATCCTGCAACATACACATTACATACACTCGTTGAGGAGACTTGGCAACAGGAACTTATAAATGATGGACTTAATTATTTACAGCTGAAGTTCTTTTTGATGGATGGAAAGATAGAAATGCTTGTACGAAATCTGTCCATTGCAATGGAAATCTACATTTATTTACAAAAAGTGTGTCTTTCCCTGCAAACAATGATTATACATTAATGATGATAGTACTTGTAGTATGATAAGCTAAATGATACATGTATATATTGCACACCCGATGCAACACAGTTGGAATCACATAAAGATTGATGCATTTAATGAATCTGAAAATGATCGATCTTTTCTCAATAATCCCGCGATCAAAATTTGGGAATTATTTTGTCTTAACCCATCTTTTTTTATTTCTTATCACAGATAGTGTTTACCTATATCAGGTTGTAGAATATATATTGATATCATTAGGAAGAGCATTTGTTGTGTATAACGACAAATACCCCTAGAATATCATTCTGGACATGTAACCATCATAACACACTAAGACAACTATTCCCAATAGAGCAATGACCTTCCTTACAACTATAACTACCCTCTAGAAGGAGAAAAAAACAAAGATTACCTCATCTAATATATTGACTAGCAGCTCTAGCATCATTCATGGAATAAATTTACTTGATATTAATTAATATTGTAAGTGTTTATATTCTATATACTTCACCTGAGTAAACATTATCAAAATTTTTGTTAAAATTCACCTCATGTGGGGTGAAAAGGAAACAAGCATGTTACATTGTGTAGTTGGCTCACCAAACACACAAGAATTATTAAGAAATAGAATTATTATAGATATAATGACTGCTATGAGAGGCATTGCTGTTTCTATAGGCTCAAGTGGACGTTACATCCTGCTATAAGTACCACGAGGAAACAAAACATGAATTATTATAACGTACAAACTACAAATTAACAATAATGAATCAAAAGTAAATAATTAGTAGTCAATAATTAATGATTGACTCTCCTCCATAAGCATTATACTTACAACTAACAGTGACATTAAATATACAGCTCCCTGTCGCAGTCGATGGTGATGACGTCGGGTAAGCCGTCACTGTGACCTCATTAGTGCCTACTGGCAACCTTTCATTAGGACCGTATTCAGCGGGTTCATAGATCAGGTTATAGTTAGCGGTCCCAGAAACGGCAACGTTGAAGGTGGCAAAGACGTTGGATCTTTCCGATTCCACGGAATTGCAAGTCACATCTGTAGAATGAAAGAAAGAAAGCAAAGGCATAAATTGGAAAGCAGGGTATCATCTACCTTTAAAACATTATATGTCATAACCCTTAACATGAATCATGAGTTATAATCATTGCTATATTAATGCAACTACAATTTTTGCTGATGGATTTACCTTGGAGAGACTGGAAATAGCACAAGGATTATGGAGGTGATTATAATGGTACGTGACGACGTTTGGCTTTTTACATGATGAGATAACTGTCTTGTTTTCATTTTTGCACGTTTCATGAACCCTTCCAGTGGCATGGTGAAACCATCTAATTTTTTATATTGTATAAATGTATGTCTCACCAATGAAAAGCATGCATAATCTTTATTTTGAAAAGGAATGACCCGTAAAAAATCACTGATCCCAAGTTGCTGTACAAGGTAGTTATTGGCACACCTCTCCCCATTCAACTTGGCGGAATTTCTTTTTCAAATGAGAGATTGAGGGAACTTTGGACCGATCATTATTTTCGTCTCATTGATTCTCTTGTTATAGTCAATATTGAAACGTTTTTTTGTTGGTTATTCCTCGGTATTCAACACGTTGATGGAGTAACGATCTGAACAAATGTCAATTGATATCACCATGATCGTGGTACATATAAGAATGCCACGTTGAAATCTTTATAATTTTCGCTTATCGTCTGTTTTTAGATTTTTCTCTACTAAATAACATAACATGGCTGAATCGGGGAGGATGGTACCAAAGGCAAGTTACCGATTATGTTATCGGTGCATTATTACATCATTTGACATGAGCACTGCCCCTCAAGTAAAACAAAAATCTTTCCGATTAATTAATCACACTTTCTAAAAAAATATCGTTCACTACTCCCCACGCATCCATACCAGCTGAAAGTGTTATTTGAATGAATTGTTTCTGTGTCGAAAACTTTGTAATCCACTTTTAATATTCCCCTACTCGCCGGCATGCGTTTACTTGCTTGATAAAGCATTTGGACGCCAACCCATTTTCATAACTTCGTTTAAAATTGGGGATCCAAAGCATATTAATACGACTGATCCAATATCATTTGCCATACTAGAGTATACGAACAAATACAATTACTACAATACCACCCCCTTCGTTATTCACATTGACTACCCGGAATAAAGACCCTCATTAAATTCACTTCCAACCGCTAGCTATCTAACTCAAACCCAATGAAACTAATCATATTTTCGTGAAAAATCAAGCAAACTCTTTAACATCAAATTCCTTGTGAAAAATAAGCAATGAAGCCGAAAGCGAGAGACCATGATCAAATTTTTTTTTTTTTATCTGTTTGTAAAATCTCGTTATCACGTCATTTATCCGCCATTAATAGAGAGAAATCTCAATCTCAAATACCATGATCAAAGTATTTTTTTATCTGTTTTAAAAATCTCGTTATCACGTCATTATCCGCCATAAATAGAAAGAAATCTCAATTTCATTAATAAGTAAATATGTCATTTGATTTGATTTGATTTCTACATTTTTCATGCAATACTAATCAGTAACAATATGAACATTTTGTACATAGTGGTAATATTTTTTTTTCGAATCACAATGAATAACACAATTATGCAACAAAATGTTAGGAACGATTGAAATAGCAAAATGCAAAAGAGCTGTAGCGTTAACATGCTCTTGAAGTGCATGCAGCTCTTTAACTTATGATTACAGCGACAGCAAAATATGATAATATAAACAGGCATCAAAAGAACAGGAATTCGATGGCCCCAAAATTACAAAAACTGACAATAACTGACAAAAACATTACTATTAGTTTATTCATACCACCAATAATAAATGAGTAATTATACGTACATCACCTCTGAACATAATTTAAAACATCATGCCTTTTTTTTTCTTTTTCAATAAATTACCCTGTAATAATCAGACTTTTGATACCACGTTTGCTGACGAATTTCCGCTTACTATCTTTGAGATATATTATAAAATGTCACCTTTTTCACTATTTTTATTCATAGATATTTTCTATCATAATATTCATGCCCTGAGTCCATTTTGATTATTGGAAAGGAAATGAAACACAAAGCCCTCCCACAAATAGAATAGACCGTCTTTTAGAATAATGAAAAACTAAAATATATTTATACAACCTGTTTCACAAAGAAGTTTATCCGTCTGTACCATTATAGTAATATGACTCTTTCTCATTTCAAAATAAACTATATAGCAAATTTTACCGATTAGATAGCTTATAAGAAAATATGATTTAGGAAACATAATAGCTTATTAGTGCAGATATTCACGATAACAGTTTTTTTCATAGACATTCGTCTTTCTTGTACTGCCTGATTGCCTGTTAATTTTAAACTAAAACCAATAAAAGATTTTGGTCTTAATTAAAGTTCACTTACCCTGGCCGTTTGCTCCATTACATAAAATGAAGAAAATCACACAAATCCAAACATACGTCCTTGTTATACTTAAATGGTAACTGCACAGCTCCATACTTCGAAAAAATTCTCGTCAGCAAATAAAGTCACAAGTCAATTATGAAAACATGCAGGCTGTGATACAGGTCTAATAGTTGTGCTCCTTTACTTGGGGCAGAATTTCCCCAGTGTCTCCAAAGCTTGTCTCACTTGTTGAAGTCTTTTAGAATACAGCCATAAACTTCCGTGTATACTACCGTCTGATGAAACTGTTTGATATCGGTTTTGTTACACACTAAGTTCTTATATCAATCGAAGAAGGCGCCTGGTACATAAAGCGGAAATATCTGTAAATGCGAGCAGTGATGTCCCTCAATCACATAAGTAGTGCGAAGGGAGTGGCAGAAGTTAAGTTGCCTGGCGGTATATCGTTAGACCAGAGAGGTGACCATGTCCAGGTAAATAAATGTGCGGATAAGCTGATCAAGGAGCAGTTCAGGTTTCTAAAAATAGAGCCAAGTCTGAGGAGAAACTCCAATCTGACTATGCACCTTGATGCGAGAATGACTTTAGCTACAAGTACATAAAGAGACCAAGATGTTTGCTTAGTGCTAAACGTGCGTTGATTAAGGCTGTCTGCGTGTGAACTATACATGTATATACAAAATTATCCTCGCCAAATATTATACCCTGTGTTCATTCCTGGTCTCAGAGTAGGAAAGATATTCTATTGTTGGAAGGATCGCAGTTCATGTATTGTATTTATGATCCAGATTTTTTGCATACACTCCTTGTGCATGCCTCAATGATCTTCAAAGAAAGAAGTCCATAGGCAACACAGAGTGCCCACCAAATCGGAAAAAGAGCATTTATTTTGCATAAGACAGTGTAAGACTAAACTTGGTGTATGATGTGGAATGAAATTTTATAAGTTTGTTGAAAGATAGAATGAGGAATATATTGCTATTTTAGTAAGACCTTGCATATTTCAAATCGAACAAAAAAAAAACATCTAGCAACTTCATCTGCGGAAATTGTAGTTTAAATTCAGAGAAATACAAATCCAAATGTCGTTGCATATTCAGGGACATCCGAACTAGTGTCAAGCTGAAATACATCATTGGTTGGAAAGATGATTTCTTGAAGACAGAGGTATAAGCTCTACTTATGCATATTGCCTTGTATTGTATTGCATTGCAACTAGACCTAAAATTCATACCCGAAAAAAGGTTACCTGTTGCTTTATTTCCGCTGGTATGCCTAAGTTAGTGACTCATTTTAACAATGATTGCCTTGTAGGCCTAGACGACCATGCAGGATCATGATACCTGTATGGATATCATTGTGTTGCCACCCACTTAACTGATAACGTTGTAGAAAAGGTATCTTATCAATAAATACGGGTTTCAAAGAGATATGGGAATAACCCGATAATGAACGTAACTGCGACCGCCACCAATTTTAAAGGTATAGTTGAGTTCTATTTTCAGACCGCAAATGCCTTCAAAGTGCATGGTTATTGCTCTTATTCTTATCTATGACATGTCTAGTAGTGCCCTTTAGAACCTAAACTTGCTATGAAGGTAATTTTAGACCCCAAAATGTGTGAAATTTAGCCAATACGATCATACCAATTCAGCTTCACTTTCAAAAAAATATAGTGACCGTTAATTAATTATTTAGTTAAAAATAACAATACATAGGCTGGCTGGTTGCGCGTAATATAACCAACACGAAATTGCCAACAAAAAAGCTAACAACGGCATTGGCGGAAATACGACGTGAAAGGCGCTATTTCGTTTTTTCAACGGCTTTTTCAAATCACTAATATTTGTGGCGGTACACAAGTATTAAAAAACGTTATAATTATGGATATTTCAGCCGTCTCTGAACCGATTTCGATCAAACAAATATTATTTTGTCATTTAAATTGTATGTTTTTTCAAATTTGACACTTAGTTTTTCATTATCTCACAACAAATTATTTTGTGTAGCGCCCTCTGCAACAGAACTCAACTATCCCTTTAAGCTTAATTGTGTCTATCCCGGATAACAATACGACGTTGGGCCCAGGGGCGGATCCAGCCAATGGCAAGAGGGGGGGGGGGATTCGTGAAAAAATATTAAGCGGCGGGGGGGGGGGGGTAAGAGAAATACTAATGTATTGGGGGCTAAGGGGGGTCTTGGACCCGTCGCTCCCCCCCCCCCCCCCCCCGTGGATCAGCGCCTGGTTGGGCCAACGTCGCTATTTGTTCGCTGATAAACGGTGGATATTGGTTGGCTATACGGCGTTGGGCCAACGTTGGCTAAACGTTTGGCCATCGTCTCAATTTTCACTGATAAACAGTGATTATTGGTTGGCTATACAACGTTGGGCCATGTTGGCCAAACGTTGGCTCAACGTCGTATTGCTATATGGGATGTTTCCTCCCCTTAGAATGATATCGATATGAAACCTAGATAACCCTAGTTCTAAAATAAATTACAAATCTGCTGATATGCAGATAAGAAGCTTAGTGTTCAATTAGGAAAAAAATAATGCGTTTCTGTAAGAAAGTAAGTTAACGTAAGTAAAAAAAAGTAGGCCTACTTACATTCAGAACTTTAATCACATTCCCTCTCTCTCTCTCTCTCTCTCACTCACTCTCTCCCTCTCCCCCACTCCCCATCCCGCCCCCGCCCCTCCCTTCCTCTTTCAGCATATTGGATTATTTTGTATGTGTGTGTATCATATGTGCAAATAGTTGCTAGTGCGGGCCGATTTAACTTTGCTCTCAACCACACCCGAACGCAATATGCGACCTCCCCTACTTACTGGACTTGCTGCCAGCCGAAGATGGCGTGATCAAAATTAGGACGCCCGGCGAATTTTTGTTTAGCTTGGCTGGTGAGCGTACGAGTTCGTTAATAACGCCATCTTCGGCGGCTTGAATCAATTGTACGGAATATCAAGAACCAGCCAGATTCTGGACTCGTGATAACCCAGTCACGCCAACGAAACCGACCAGACGCGCTCGCAGGGGGAGGAAGGGGGGGGTCCCCCTTTAACTTTTTGTATGTGTGTGTTTTTGAGGAAACCCCCCTTCTTTTTTTTTAATTAAAAAAAATAATAATTATTTCAAAAAAAATTGTGGTAATGGGTGTCCTATAAAGCTGACCTTACTCCCCCCCCCCCCAACGAAACGAAATATCAATCGACCAAATGTTCAAATTTTGAGACACACACACACAAAATGTGCTCTTATTTTGACACGTGCCCATTTTCCTTACTAATAAGTACCATATTTCCTTCGGACAAGTGCCCCCCCCCCCTTTTTTTTTATATGAGCCCTTCCCCCTTTTCAAAATGCCGCTTTTAACATCTGATAAATTCCCCTATTAAACTGTTATAGGTGCCCTTCTCCTTCAACAGATTCTACATTTCCATTTTCACAAGTGCCTTTTTTCATTTCGAGTGTCCCTTTTCAGGTGCAAGATGTGCCATTTTCACCTCTGAAGGCTCTGATAATTGCCCTTTTTACTTTGACATAAGCACCTTTTCTTTTCTAATAACTGTCCTTTTCCCTTTTGATAAGTGCCTACTTTTCCTTTCTCCGTAACATGCACCATCGATTCAAGGCGACTAAGAGCCAATTTTTCTTCAATTTTTCCCAAAGCTCGCTCGCATTTATAGATGTTATAATTATGTTACTTATAAAAGAATTTTTCAGTCTTTCTTCATTAGATTGTGCTTAATACTCATCAGGGTTTTTGTTGTTGTTTTCTTTATAAGATTTTCGCACTGGGGTCTCATAAATCTTAGAATTTTTGCTCGCTCGCTTCGCTCGATCGAAAAATGAATATTTAGACCATCACATCCAACTGCAAAGTATGTTGGTTAATTAAGCATTCACGTCAAGAAAGAAACAAATATTGATATAATCCCTGGTAGTGTAATCACAATCATGACGATGTAGGGGTATATACCAATGTCTACAAATGGTCTAGGTTTTGTTGATGTTTCCCTATTTTTGAAGACGCCGCCCCTGCATTATGCTACTTGGTGGTGATAAAGATGTTTTGACCCAAAAAAAGATTTTGCTCATTACGCCACTGCCTAGGGGACGTTATCCGGGGGTGGTTGTCCAGGGGGTAGGTGTCCTAGAACCGCGTTTAGTGGGAGTGTGTGTTTGTGTTTGTGAAAGACAGAGAGAGGGGGGAAGAGAAGGGGCATGGAGTGGAGAGAAGGGTTGCTTTCGACATTCCTGGTAGTCAGAATCCACGGCGAAGCCATACAAAAAATCCGAAGGCAGACAAATTGGGCTGAATAATGTCACAAGGGGCGGTTTCAGATACATTCTTCCGTCTTAATCAATTTCATGTATGAATTTATCATCATGACTAGTTTCCAGGGTCAAGTTTTGCTCGACAAAAATAACATCTTCAATCTATTTTTTTTAAATCAGATAGGAAGGGGATAGCGATCATTAAACAAGTCTTTAAAAACAACAACAATGAGCTTAACAATAGTGAAAATAATAATAATGATAGTAATAATCATAATAATAACGATAAAAATAATAATATTGACAATATCTATAATAATGAAAATAATAATAACGATGAAAATGATAAGAATAATAATTACAACCGTTATGATGATATTACTACTAAAAATAATCATAATAATCATCATCATCATCATCGTCATAATATTGATAACAATAATAACGATAAAAATAATAATAACAATAATAATAATGATAATAATAATAATGATGATAATTATAAGAACAATAACAAGAATAATTTCTGCGGGAAACGCGTGCTCCTCCTCGTTGCCCCTTCCCCTCCCACACTTCCTTAATGGATTTTCACAATTAAAGCATTCATTTTAATAATTCATTTCACACTAAATGAATTTAACCATGTACACACTGACAAGGAAGGAAAACTGGCAGAAATGGCAGAGGTTAAACTGTTCAATTGTCATATCTCGTAAACTGGCTTGAGTGTGCAGATAGCAGAAGCTACAAGTCAGTGATTTGAGTCGGGTCTGCTTTCATTTTACACGCTTACCAATTCCACTCATCTCAAGTGGTGTGTGATTTCCTCGGTATCCAGAAAGTAGAGGTACGTTACAATTGTAAGGTATTTTCACTTCTTTTTAAATAATTTTTATCATCTGGAATA